ATGACCTCGCATGGATGATGGTTGAGGCACCTCATCTCAGAGCCTCAGGCCGCATACCGTCATCCGCCGACCAATGGACTGAGACACGCAGAGACTTCCTGTCGTCGGGCGAAGAAGGAAGAAGTATCGTGATGCGGTACTGCTCACAGCCACGTTTGGGCCGGTTTACGCAGACGGGCCGACAGGTTGATGTCAGAACGATGCACCTCTCAGCTGCACCGCCGACCTTTGCAGGTTCATGCGACGACTCGTTCCTGCATTGCGGATCACCAGAACGAAGCTCGAGACTCAACTCTGGGGATACTCGTATCAACAGATGAGGAACGCTCCCAGCTGGACTTGGTCCGACAAGAGATCAACGCATAGGGCTGTCGGAATCGACTCCATTTTGCTTGGGATCAACACATAAGGCTCTCGCAACTTGACTCGATTCCACCAAAGATCAACACATAGGGCTCGCGTTTCGACTCAATTCTGCTCGGATCGACAAGAAAGATAACGCTCTGTTCGCAATATTCCACTTGTTTGCCCTACCTGGACCCAATTCCCCAGTGCAATAAGGCGCATCCACTCGCGATACATCGTCGGAATTTTATCGTCTCTTCACACCGCTGCCGCAATAAAACGATGGACTCCATGTATACAAGAGCCCGGATTCTGATGCGCTGTCCATGGCGTTTTCAGTGTCATGAAAGGGCATCCCTGACAAATCGACAGGGTCGGCAGGTTGCACATCGGGGCGGTCAGGCACAAAGAAGAGACCTCACGCGGGTCAAAAACAAGCGGCCCTTACGCGCGCTGGACGTCAGTACAGCCACCACTCAACCGTCACTGGACCGGCCGGACAACGTTCATTCGTCACTCCCGCGCTAGCTCCGTAGCACCGGCTGCCTCGTGGTTTGCGATAGGCATCTGAGATGACAATCTGTCGACAATTCGGGAAAGTTGGTTATGACGGACTCCCGTTCGCGTCAGTCACTACAGGGCTGGAAAAGAAGCACATGGGTATGATACCCTGGCACCAAAGGCCAAAAATGGACACGAGAAACTGTTGTTTCAGCCAACCAGAACCAGAAAGGAGCCCTGCAACTCCGATCTCTCAGCCCCTTGCAGAATGCTGGGAGGCATGTTCAAACAACACCGAAGCCAAGAGACCCTTGAAAGCAATGACCCGTTGCTTGACCCCGGCGCTGCGGATTGTTGAATGGGGGCATGTCCAAAGCTTTCGGAGGAAATGCAACGAGGTCTCGGGAGAGATTGAGATTCCCCTCCAAAAATTTCGTTCTACTTGAGACCAAGGGCGAAAGCGTCACATCTTGTTTTGCCGGGGGATGGAATTTAACGTTTTTTTGTCTTTGAATTAGCCGACTCCACCGTTCAGCCAGCTATGACTCGCCGCGCGATGCACTGGCGGATAGGTCCAGCTCCCTGCGCTGATATCCGCCGACGTGAAGCTCCAAAGACCGGAGCGTATTGCGAGTTTGTCTGAGGATTCTTCAGACGCAGTTGCTATGACAAAGTACAAGAAGCTCAAACTTTGGCCCCAAACCCGACCGGACGGCCTCCCAGAGTTCACGTCTCGGCTGCCTCCGGTAGTCAACTGAAAGTGCATCGGATTACTGCCGACGGAATCTCAGCCTCAGGGGCAAAATCGTCGTCCATCTTACGGATTCCGGACTGATGCTATTATTGCAGACTTACCAGGATGGCACGCGAGTCGGAGAAATAACACAGGGAAATGACATGCCCCCAACCGTTACACGGCAAATAATTGTATGCCGTGTGATTGATTCAGAGAAGCACAAACCACAGGCTCTTTCGATGATTTGTTTGGCAGCGGCAACAGCAGATCCATACCGCGGACGGTGGATCTTCGCGACAGTCGCGGCTCAAAGTTCCCTGCAACTCAAACGACCCAGGTCCTGGGAAGGGAACTTGTGTGAGTGCTGTGGTTCGAAAGCTCGGACGCCGCGGGCTATGAGCAGAGCTGCAGAGGAGGCTTGAAACCATGTCTTGAACGGCCGTCAGGTCCCTCTTCCTGATGTAACCCGGTTGGCAGCCGGCCGTTTCTGGTGTCGCGGGTTTGGTCTCGGAGAGCTTTCAAACTTGTCGACTGGAGCTTCGGTTCGCCTTCAGGACGGTCTCCACTAGCCTCTAGACGGACGGCGGCTCACTGCTGGCACGCTGGGCGCTCGATTCTCGTTACTGCTGCCGCCGCCGCAACACGCTCACTCGCCTTCTTCGGCCTAGCCTGCCACGGGGCAAGGCCCGCATGGGTGATGGGAATGGCCAAGGGGAGTAGACGCACGGATACCCAGGATCCATGACCGCATAACGTTCGCTCGTCGGTCTACTACCATAGTAGTGGACGAGAAATGGGAACAGGGTCCTTCCTCATTCGGTCGAGATGGGAAAGGTTGGTTTTCTACAGACAAGGACCGGGGCGGGGCGCCAGGCCAGCCGAGAGTTGATTCGAGTCGAGCTCTCTTCAGCTTCGTCCTCTCAAGGTTTCATGGCATGATGGGAAGTCTCTTGTTTGTTTTTGACTTCTTTCTCGGCTGTCAGCGACGGCATGAACGCTGGACGCGCGCGATGACTGCGGCCGAGACTCAGGAGTCGTCATCCAAGTTGAGATGATTGCGTGTGCGACTTCGGGAGGATCAAGCTTCCGTCGACACGGTTCAGACTCAGCATCAGTATTCGTGCTGCGTACGGCACGTACGAAGCATGCCAGAACAGAAAAGCTGAAGGACAGTCGACAGTCACAGCATTCAACATCCTTGTCGGGAGGCTATTTGTTGGACCCAGTGCTAGGGCCGCTCAGTTGGGGTCGTAGGGCGGGCGGCACAGCAGCGAGCAAAAGTCGGGTGTCGTTGGAAATGGAGCGGACCACTCTCTGTGGGCGCACACACGGAGAGAACCGCTTCAGGTGCTTGCCATGGGCCAAGGTGACGGGACCTTTGTGTAGGGTTCTGGCGACGATGCTGCTGCATGTCACCACACCAACAGACGCAGAAGCAGCCAGGGCCGACGAAGATGAACATGCCCACTGTCCACATGACGATGTTCTTCTCCAAGTCGGGCTCTGACCGAACACAGGGCAGGCAAAATAGTGCCCCCTTTCAGCTCTCGGGGGACTGGTCGGATGCAGACCCAGGACGTCTCCCAGGGCGAGTGCCGATGCAATGGATTGTTACTCTTGAGCGGCTGTCTATCACCTATTTTCATGCTATAGGCTCCGCAAGTCTGTTGTCGACGCTATTACCTAAGGCAGGCCAAGGAGTAGCGGTGGTCGACCGAACAAGGTCCAATCGACATGACCTTAGTCACAGCTTGACGAGTGGCCCATTCGAGAGGGGCCGCGGAGAGATTCACACCGGCGGAACACACACACAAAGTTGAAGCTCACAGCGAGGTATGGAGAAATCATCTTGCTGGGCTTTGGAGTCTGTGACCCCTTAATTCTTGTCGTCATTCCTCGATATTGCCTCCAAATCAAAGTTGGCTTTTAGAGTTGCCGGCGAAGCACCTCGAGTTAGGACGGACGAAAAAAGCAGCGGATGAGAGTGCCGCCCGGGCTCCGGTCTGATGGGCCTCTTCATAGCAATTGCCTTTTTGCTAAAGGATGTCACGACAAGAGACAGATGTCCGCATGAAGCTGACGCTGGCGTGTTTAGGACTTGATGGCGAGCGGTGCTCTGTCATCCGCTGAATGGACGAGTTGCACGACAAAGAGCACGAGCATGTTTGCATGAGCAGGCGCAGGGGCGGACATACAGACGATTAGATGATGGGATGGCAACGGCATCCATGACTATGGCTGGCTCGGCATGGCACAGTCATCGGCACAGACACAGGCACAGACAAGCAGAGATGCAATGCTCTCTGGCTGGTGATTGCTTCGCCTCGATCGTGTTTGGCTAGCTCCCTGCCGACAGCGTGGCATTGAGCTGGATCAGGTCAAGATTGGCCGTTGCCCCTTTTTCTCCGAGTCGGGACTTTGATTCAGCTCCGGCGCGGACGACAGCAAGCAGCAGACGATGTATCGAGAATAGAAGCTATACGGAGCGGCATGGCGAGCATGGCATGGCATGGCATCAGCGGCGCGATGCGGTGATGCGATGATGGGTCGGTAGCGGGTTGGGAGGCACTGGAGCAGAGAGAGGCAAGGCAACGAGGCCGTCCAAAGCCAAACCAGTCGCGAGACCACTTTCGGGTGCTCTCTCCGCAGCCAGAGAGGTAACAAGAGGTAACGGTGCCCTGTGGACGGACTTTCCAACGATCAGCCACCTCACGCATGGCTAGCTGCGAATGGCATAGCAGAGGAACGCGCTAGAAAGTCGCCGGGTGGTGCGGTGCGGGTTCGCTGCTGTCGAGCGCGTCTCCGCCGCCATAAACTCTAGGACAGAACAGCGCGAACAGCGAGCGAGCTGCGCCTCAACTCCCTCACAAGAGAAGAGACGCAGCAACGTTGGTGATGGAGGGGAGTGAGGAGAGGGTGCGAAAGGTGGGAATTTGAGATGGGAGACACAGGTTCTCAGAGTCCATTCCGACATGGCGCCAGCCCTCTCACGGACTAGCTGGCTGAGACGTGGGGAGAGTCTCTCTCGAGGGTGAGGTGAGGTGAGGCACCCCAAGCCAAACAGGTCACCCGCTTTCTGCACTAACAGTTCAAGTCAGAGACAACCCGACTGTGAGTCGGTCAATGATTTGTCTCCGCTGGTGAGTGGCTCCTCGCCCCGGCCCCCCGGTCTCTCTCCCTTCCCTCTGCTTTGCTCTGCTCTGCGCTGCGCTAGCCTTTTTTCTCGCGGCCGTCTTTGGTTGGGGCCCAAGAAGCCGGCTCACCCACGGGAGGAGGGGCCAGGTTTATTTTTAATTCTGCCTCTGGCTCTTGGGTAGAATTGGGTTTGGGCGGTTGAACGGGGATTCGCTGGTGAGTTGTGCCGCTATTCCAGATGTGCAGACACCATCTTTGCTTTGCTTACTGACAGAGACAATAGAACCGCCGAGCAGAAATTCAAATCGACGTCAACCAGAGGCACATCATCATGGTCATTCTCTCGGTATCAATACCGAATGTCTGATGTTTGATGCTCACCAAGTCGTATGTACGTATCTTTTGCCTCCCTGTTGTGATATTTTTCTATCCGTCCCATCCTCGCCTTCATCCCCATTCTTATCCTTTCCCCCGTGCATTAAAGTAAACACGCTGCATGCACACACCTATGTTACCTTGTGTAAGTCTCTCCTACGACCATGTCCATGCCCATAACCCTTGCTCATGTCACTATGCCCCCATCCCAGGACTCCTAGATACCATCTCATCCCATCACCATCACGATTCCTCCTCGTTCAGAAAACGAAAGAAGCCCCTCGCAATTCCCACAGACCACACCGACCATACGACGTATTCGCTGCAGCTACAGGCGTCAACCCAGCCGTGTCAGTGTGTCATATCACCAAGCAGTCAACCCTGTCTGGCGACGACGTCCTAGCAGGTCGAATCTGTCACCCTTCTCAGTTGCGGCACTCGGTCTCTGTCATCTGCAGAGCAAAGCATCACTCACGCTCTGAGGACTGAATACTGCGGTATCCAGAGGCATCCCAGTTAGCTACCGGTACGTACGGAGGATACCCAGCAACGATCCTAGCACGGGCGGCCCCTCCCCTCCACAGCCCACACCTGCACAGGGAAAGGCAAAGGCAAAAGGTAGAGAGAGAAAGGCACAGGCACAGACACAGGTTCAGGTATCCGTACAGGCACAGGGCATAGGCTACTGATCCTGGAGAGAGGGAGAGACGGAGATACACACACACACGCCTTACACGTTGGTGGTTGTGTGGTGCGGCTGTCTGCTGCTGGATCTGCACCGAGCAGGTCTTATTCTCTCGGGCTCCAGCTTTTCTTTTTCGCTATCCTCGCTCTTGTGGCTCTCCAGGTCGAAGCAATTGGGTGTGCCGCAATCCCCTGCTCGCCCGCCGGGCAGCCCCCGTCTTTCTCACCCGTCTGCCCCCGTCTTTGGCACCTGCTTGCCCCGTCTTTCCCACCAGGCGGCTCTGGCTTACCGGATTAGGGCGAACCTGGTGTGGCACCTGGTTGAGAGGTGCGGGTGTGCCGTCTTCTGCCTGAGCCTGTGGTTTTCATAGGCCGTGCTATGTGCATGTGTGTATGTGGTGTGTGTGTGTGCCAGTCGAGGTCCTCCCACCCCCAGTCCACACGCACAAACACACGTCCCCTTCTGCTCCTGCGCACTTGCTTCTGCTGCGGCCTCTTTCTTGGAACATGGAATTATTTAACTGATTCGCTTCCCCAGCCCGTTTACTACCGCCTCCTCTATCTCCCCCTCTCAGCCTACACCAAACATCAAACCAATATCAGCCTCGTTGAGCTGCTCACGCCGCCCTCAACCACATTCGCTTTTTCCTAACTCTCACCTCTAGGAAGTCCTCGTTGACTCCTGTCATTCGCTTTTGCGCTTTTGTTTTTTTCCATTATTCCAATACTCTCAAACCATCCTCATCAACCTCCCAAAGCCTACCGCGCCTTTTCCACCAGATACTCGAGAGAGAAAAGGAACAAGACCTCCAACGCCCAACAACACCAGCCACACATACACACACACCTCTCGAAGCAATTTAGCCAACAACCCTGGTCCCCCTCAGCCTTACCTCGGGAACGCCAAACTACCGCCCACCTCCCGGCTTACAACCAGCAAATGCTTCAGAAGTAAACCAACCGGTCTTTTGATCAAACCACACTCGCTTTATAGGAAAAGAGGATTCAGAGAAGGGATTTGGGGAAAACAAGAAATTCGCCCACCTACGATCGCTACTAGTATCAGGAACTGGGAAAGACCGAAGACACTGCTTGAAAAAGGACCACGACCAGAAAGAGAGAGGAATCCGCCCGAACATCCCGGCATTCTTTTACCATTTTCTGGCAACACATCACCAAGCATCTGACCACCCACGTCGGTTGCTTATACGTCCCACGTCATCGGACGCCTCACTTCACAGCAGTATCATCCAGTCTGGGCAGCTTTGCTCCCGGTAACGACACTACACTCGCTTCCACGCGGCCCAGGCCGTGTATTTTCATGTTGGTTACCTCCCTGCCACCTTTGCCTCGTACTTGAACTGACAAGTTAGTTCTTTCGTCAAACTCGCTCACAATGGCCGGTCCCGGCGGTGGTCCTCCTCGCCGCAGTCACACCAAGTCCCGCAAGGGCTGTGAGACTTGCAAGCGCCGCCACATCAGATGTGATGAGAACTTTCCCCAGTGGTATGTCTTCTGCCCCTTCCCCAGCGAACGCTCACTCACATCAACAGCCGCAACTGCACCAAGCACAAGATCCGCTGCCCCTACAACGACATGCCCATCCCCGAGGACAGGTCGACGACACCCGACAAGCCCGACCTCATGTGGACCCCCGAGGTCGAGGCAGCCATCGAGCAGTGGCAGCGCACTGGCATCTTCCCGTTTTCCAACCTCGGAATCTACCCCGCGCCGAACCCTCAGTACTTCACGGTCGAAGACCTCAGGTTGATCTACCACGTAGCTTCGATCTGTGACGAGATGGTCGGCCTCGATGCCAACGGATTCACCCTCTGGACTCGTCAGATCCCAACGTGAGTTTGCAGGCAACTGAAGTCAGTCAACCCATGCTAATCAAGAGCAGTATCATCAAGATCGGAGCAGTGCACGGATATGTCATGAACGCACTCCTGGCTTTCTCGGCCATGCACATGGCCTTCCTCACCGACTGCCCCCTGGTTGGCAACATGGCATACGAGCACCGCGGCGCTGCCATGAGCGGTCTGAAGGACGCTATCGGGACTTTCAGCCGGGAAACGTCGGACGCCGTCTTGGCCGCCTCGCTGGTCCTCTCATGGCAAGCTACGGATTGGTAGGCAATATCTGCAGCCAACCGCACAGGACCCCGCTAACACACCTCTTACAGGCGAAGCTGGACCCAGCTCATGCAAGGAACCTCTTCAGTAAGCCAGCCAGAACATGCTTGGAAGCTCAAGGAAAATACTAATTCGGCATAGGTCATCGAAGCCATGGACCCCTGGAAGCACGAGTCCCAGTTCGGCGACTTCATTGCCGAGAGCTGCACCTTCCCAACCGCGCCCGCCTCCCCCAGTCCGGACCACAAGCCGAGCCAGCCACGCAAGGAGGACCACGACGCCTTCACCAAGACCCTGGCACAGCTGCAGAAGGTCGAAGCCCACCTCAAGCACAACAAGGAGGACACCAAGTCGATCCAGCAGTTGATCAGCTTCCTCAAGGGCGCCAAGAAGGTCAACACGGGCCTGAACGTCTCCCAGCAGTTCGAGCGTCTCCGTCCCCTGCGCACTTGGCTCTTCTGGCTACCCGTCATGTTGCTCAAGCAGACGGGCGGATCGCCGAGCGCCCTCATCATCATTGCTCACTACTACACGGTAGCATTGGTGACGGAGCGTCTGTTCCCTGACATTGGCGCCGCCTACTTCGGCAGCTTGTCCATCGGCCCCGTTGAGGAGATTGCTCGCCGCCTGCTGTCCATCAACATCTCCGGCCAGGTCGTCGGCGACGTGCAGACACCCCTCACCCTCATGGAGTTCCCCATCGACACGGTCAACGAGTTCCGCCAAAGAATGGGCTTCACCTCGCCTGCTCGTACACCATCATTCCCGCAGTTCCACCCGCCCAACTTCTACAGCCGCGACATCGTTGCTCCCCCTCCCGTGAGCGACGCGTACCTGCCCTACGCCAACCCGGCGTTCAGCTACAGTACCGAGTCACTGCAGATGCTCAATGCTGAGTCGGCACCGCCCAACAACCTGTCGCCCTTGGTGCTCTCTGCGCCCTTCATGAACACCTCGCAGCAGTACCTCAGCATTCCCAGCCCCAACTACGGCGCCTACAGCCCGGCGTCCTCGACCTTTGAGGGCTCCATCGTGTACAGCGACACGGAAGACTACGGGCCGTACGAACACTACGACATGAGCGGTTTGCCCGCGGTCAACAACCAACTAGGCGTCGGGTTCGTCTCTCCCACCCAGCCCGTGTATATCTAAAAAGGCCCTGCCCATTCTCCATGGCACCCTCGATAACCACCGCGGCACATCAACTCGCATGAAAGAACTTCCGGATTGACCGCCGCTCAGGATGCCAACCACCCCGACGTACCCGCCGCCCGAGGACCCGCACCTCATGGCATCTTCGTTGCACACCGTGCCCCCCTCACCGTTCCTCAACCCTGAACAATTCGGCATGCTCCCGCTCCCCGAGTCGCCAGTCCCTCCTCCCAGCCTTCCCATGTCACGCCACCGACACACTCCGTCGTCCTCCATCACGGACTCGCCGCGGTCTGTCAGCGCGCCCTTTCCGCCCCGCAATCAGTGGTTGGGATCGACACCAATTGTTGTCAAGTCCGAGAAGGGCAAAGAGCGTGAGCTGTAGCTCCGCACTTGCCCTCCGTCTCGACCAGTTCTCTTTCAAAAACCATCGTTTGGGACCCTTGATTTCGAAACACCTTTTAATAATGCCTGCTCCTACATCGACACAGACGCCAATGTACACCACGCTCCTTCGAAAGAAACAATCGGCCTACGCGAGAGCCCGAGCTAGCCTCGACTCTCCGCCACCCACCACGACATTCCTTAGACGATACTTATATTAATCTGCGACGACACTCCTTTCTTAACTCTCAAAGATACCCGTCGACAAACCAACCAACAACCTAGACATTCCTTACCGGTCATCGGATAATACCCACTGCATCACACTCCTTATCATGACGTTACGATCCAACAAAAAAGCATTCGGATTATAGAAGAGGGGGAAGGGAAGAAAAAGACATCACACACTCCTTACGGATTTCCAACATTGGCCAACAATCCAAACTGCATAGCGACTGTTTAATGTGTTCGACGCGTAAGACACACACCCTCACCACAACAACAAACCTTACCTCGGCGTTTTATTTATGGGGAACCAAACAAAGGGGAATCAGTGGAAACATCAACCACGAACTGCATTGGGCGGCGTTTATTTGATTTCAGTTTTCTTTTTTTTTTACTCAAGCTGTTTGACGAGCCAGGCTTGGGACTCGCAGGACCGTGCGCGCTGAAAGTGTTTGGATTTAATGATTTCTTGGAACAAAGCGAAGAAGGGAGAGATGAAGATGCGGCGAAGGGGGGAAAGGTTCAGCAAACCCCCGCGCGCCTGCTTGGTTGTGCGGATGAAGTTGGGATTGTAATGAGTAACACTCGATAGCGATTCTCGCCCCCTTGAAGGAAAAGGGGGCTGATTGTGTCTGGATGGCAAAGAATATATTGAGCTGATGACGCGCAAACACTTTCTTTCCCCTCGCTTGTGATTTTGTTGTGTGCGTACGTAAAACGGCCGGTCCGTTGGGATCTTGGACATTTCGTTCCTTTTTGGGTACCTGTGGTGCGTGGTTGTCTTTGATCATCCTACTCGATCTCAGCCGAGCTTTCTTTTTGTGTGTAGCGACTTGCTTTTGCGCCGTCAGATCTGCGAGGTGGTGCTGGTGGTCGGTCAGGTCCCTGCTGCGCCAAGAGGAAGCCAAGTTTTCTGGAGTGTGCGCGTCGGAGGGATCTGCGGCAGGGTCAGGCTGGTTGGTTTTTGGGAGTTGCTTTTTTTTGTTGGTGGTGGTGGTGTTGGAAATTGGATTTTTTTTTGGTGGGTGAGGTCTGGGGAGGGGAGATGGGCTGAGGGGTTGAGGGGTTGAGGGATTGGGGTAGAGAGAGGCTCGTGACGTGACGGCTTTCTGGATTTCGCGCGGTTTGGATTTAATGGGGGATTTCATTTAGTATATATCAAAATAGGATGTGGTCAACGTATCGAACTCACAACATGCACGTCATCGTCCGACTTACTGTCGAGATCACGACGCGCGAGTGAGACCATCGCCGGGCTTCCAGTGTTCTTCATAGGCGAGACCCGCACACGTCCGCGCATGCTTTAAAAGATAGAAGACGTACCCCGCAATCCTTTCCTGTGTTTCTCTTGGGTTATTTCCAGATGAATATCCTTAGAGGGAATCTGTAGCTGATGAGAGTGGTGTGATTTGTTAAGTGAGTACGGCTCGAGACCCTTTCTGCTCTGGAGTCCAGTGGCTTCTCGTTGTGGGAAAGACCGGTAGAACGACGGGCCAAACCATCATTTGCACGGCTGTCAGAGAGGCACTCCGAAGTCTGATGAGGAGGGTTTACGTGTATTGTTGGTCTTGTTTAAATATCGCTCGTCGTGTCTGGTATGTTAGGAGTTTTGGCGGTTGAAATTTCAGTTTGGGCAAGAAAGAAATGACATCCCAGCGGGGGGACCGTTTTCATGTAATCGATATCGACGAGGGTATGAGATTTTATAAATGTTACTGCTATTACAGCTCACGCTCATATTTCTCTTAGGCAGGGATTGAGTAGATCTGTTGAAAGGGTCCGCTGCATCTGTCGTCTTCTCTTCCTTCCTGGTATGTCCTTTAGCATCGTCGCTGTGTTCCCATTGCGTGGCTCAGGCGGGGGGCTTCAAGTAGTCTGGGAGACTTCTGTCCTTCGTCCCTTTGAGAGTATACGGAAGCGATCTTTTGCTCCCAGTAGATTGGTAAAGTTGTGGGTTGTTCTGAGCTTTGCGGCGTATCGTGCTCCAAGAGGAAGCCTGTCGAGTTTACCGAGAGAAACCTGAATGTAAGACGCGGGCTCAGCACCATTGGAGGACCGCATCTTGCGAAGACATCATCGGCGAAGGGTTCGTGAGATTTATATGCTAATATAAGCTTGGTATGGTTCTCGGGACATGTTTCTCGGTTCTATATGGACGGGTCAGCACTGTCTCGTACCCTCACGAGTTTGGAGTGCATGTCTCGTAGCTTCTCGACACTCGTTTTCACCAACCCATATACTTGGTCCGTCGCTTAGAGGGAAGTCTAGATACGCCGACTACGCAAGAAGAGAAATAAAAGCATTCGATGAATGCTGCAATTCATAGGTAGAACACACACTCCAGTCCAAAAACCCGTGGGGATGTGCTGCTTTCAACTCAGATTTGGAACCAAACCAATGTCGTCTGGGAACGTCGCCAATGTTCACAGAGCCGGGCCTCCCAAGTCGTCACCTTCCTGTCCTGCATGCTCGACCGCTTGTTCCACTTCAATATTCTCACGACGATCCCATACAACATGGAGGGAATAAGGCTTGTCAGGCTTGTGACGCGGGATCATTACTCAAGTCGAGCTACTCTCACAGTTGTGTCAGAAACATTACTTGCCCCGAGAGACAAGAGCATTACTTCATGCCGCTGTTGAGATTCTTTCTTAGGCCATGCTCCGACATTAGGACGTTCTTGTAGGCCACCGAAGAGGGTAGTCTCAGGTTACCTCCCATGAGTTGGCCAAGTCCTCCGATTCGGTCAAGGGTGTCCAGTCCATAATGCAGTGCGCATCTTGATGATCGATCCCTCCGGCAGATGAAGCATTCGTCGAGGTTCCCGTCCAAAACGACAGGGTCAGCATGAATGTCCTCGAAAGATCTTCTTCCAGAGCCAAACTTCATCGGCCGTCCGGACTAGCTTCTTCTCGTCATCACTATCCTCCGTTGATTCAGCCCTAATACCTTTCCGCCCGCGTACGCGTGCAGCGGTGATGAATCACAGCTCCTTGCGCTGGGTCTCAGACCTCGCATATGTCCAGAGTGACCGTGAATTCGATCACTCTTACAGAGTCATCATGGAAGACCTCAAGAAGCTGAGGTGTAGCTGGTTCTAGTTCATGCTAATGGCCTCACTCCAGAGGTCTTAAATAAGAGAGATTCAACAAGACTCGGCTGATAACTCGAGACAAAACACCCGGCAGCCAGGTCTTTCTCTTCCGGGTGCATCTAACCCCGAGATCAGACAACATTGCAGCTTGGACGAGTCTTCTCACATTCCGAAGCACCGACTTTTGTAACTGCCATGTGGGTATAAGAAAGCATGACGTTGAACCGGGATATGACTTCCATCAGCCATGGAATCTCCTCCTTACTTGGATCTGTGACCAATTGCCCTGCAACTCTTCGGATGCGACAATGCGAGTTGGCTGACATTACCCATATCCTTCGCCCATGCCCCAAACCTGGGGAAGCTCTACTCGTCTCTTATTCTCAGCAGATACTTCCAAGGCGAAGCCAAGGACCAGAGTCAAGCGGCCGGACTTCGACAACCCGTTCCTGAGCTCCGCCTCCGTGGAAAGATAAGCATGCAGGTTCATGATGGGAATACGAGCAACAATAACATCCGCCCGCCATGCTCGCACTGGTGGCCCGTTACGCATGTGCTTGTCTTCAAGAACTCGCAGTACCCAGTCCCGCTGACGTTTTATACCGTAGGAAAGCCGGACTCCTCTTCGAAGTCAGCCGAATCGGGGAGCGGCGAAAACGACACAAGACGCAGATGCTAAAGGATAACCTGTACTATTCTCAACACCCTGATCTTCATCGTACCTAGGCTAAAGGCTCCGGTATAAATTGGGAAAGACTACAGCACGCTCAACCAACGAGACAAACGGATATTGTCGTTCGAAGGATCATTGCCGTGCAGCGTTTGTGAGGCCCGAGTGCTTACTCGCAGAGCAAGCGTTATGAGCGTTCATGGTGTGACGGCGAAATCTCAGGTGACATATCTCACCGGGACCATCGCCGACTCCACAACAACCACGGAGTTGTCCGCCACCACCGTCATCCGGCGTTTTCCCCTACATCTTCTTGATGAATACTCCTTATCTAGTAACCTCAATATAGTCCTTCGTTCAGATCTCAGCATGGTGCGTCTGAGGCAATACCTTCATTTGCCATGCCACGCGACACAGATGGAGTAGGATTTGTCCAGGACGCCGATATCTCAAACGTTACATCTGGCCTGCGGAATGGAGAATAGTCTGTCGTCTCCCTTTTATATCCTCCCTCGATCAGACTTATCCTCCTCGTCGATGAATCCGTATCTATTTGCCGACGACGTAGAAGCTCGCTCTTCGGGATGAAGCACCTCCTGTCCCCCCCCGAGTAACCCCGTATTTAATAACCTCTGACCGAGGGATGGCATCTCACTTTCTTCTTCCCATCAACTGGCATGTTCTTTCTCTTGCCTTGCCCTAGAATCCAGACCGAACCGATAAAGTCAATGGCAAGTTAGACATCACACCACCCCAGCCATCTCCAACGCCATCGATGAATCCCCAGCCATGAAGACTCGTTCGCCTTCATCGTCTTCAGAGTATTCAGAACGGATTCTGTTCCAAGAGCCTCCATACCACTGACAGACGCACCGGGAGTAATGTGTCGATGTAGCATCTTCACCGGTGGTTCGCACGCGGACATATTTGGCATTCTCCGTGTCAGCGATTCGGCGAAACCGTCATGCTCTCGTGGCAAGAGACCTTGGTCTTTATAAGCCGGCTCGAGCACTCACCTCCCAACCTAGCCGATCCGCGACTCGACTCCTCACGTAACCCGCCTCCAAGTCGTCGTCCTCCCCCAGTCTACCCACGATCATCACTACATCATGATAAGAACACCACCACTGCAGCAGCCTAACTCCGTCCATTCCAGCCCCGTGGGGCGGCGTACCCTATGCTAAGCTATCTACCCTATCTACCTATCTACGACAAAAAGTCCAGTTTTTTGCATCATGACGCCTGTGGCCGGCCGTATTCAACGCTCTCTTTCTTTTTTTCCTCTCGTCATCTGCTTCGTCGTCATCAACTCCATCCGCTGCTCCTTCGACTCCGGGTGAGCAATCAACACCGTCCGCCCACCCTTCCCGATTACCAAAGATATCCCTGAGGCTCTCTCATCTCTCTGGCCTCGCTTTGCTTTTGCTGACCCCACGCATGATGCTGGCTCCGCCGGTAATGCTTGCTTGCAAAAAAAAAAACAGAAAAAACGAAGAAAGAAGAAGACTTCCTTTGACCCTGATCCTCCCACCACTGAAAAAGCCAAAAGTCGATTTCACGTCAGCAACTCCATCATATTCTTTCTTTTGTTGTGTGGTGTGTCATCTTGCTGCCCAGTTACAAGCCATTCCTTGCTCCTTTGATATGTTCAGCTCCTCTCTCTCTCAATATGCGTCATCATCACTCATTCGTAAGACGCCATGTGGTATTTTCCTCCCCAGTCATATCATGAAAGCTGGCACATAAAGGGCCCTTTTTGGTTTTTACTCGTTTGCTATCCCCGTTATGTGGAGTAGTATTGGCGGAGTGCCTGCTGGTCCTGCGGTTGCATCTGGTTCACAAAGTCGTTGAACTGAGGAATCAGCTGGCGGTAGATGTTGAGAACCTGCCATGTGTCAGTAGCTGGATACCAAGTCATGTGTCAAAGGACACGTACCTTCTGGAAGTGCTCATGCAATTCATTCTTGATGGGGTTCTTCAGGCTGATATCTCTGTAACGTGCAATTGCGACGAAGAGCTGAGGGAGTGCCTTTTCCATGGCTTGTGGGTTCTGTCCAACAACCATGGTGAAGCCCTTGAATGCTGTAGCCTTCTCCTCGAGGAATTCAACATGTTCCATGGCGGTAAGGAAGTCCTCGGCAAAAGTGGGCAGCATGGGGGCCATGACCTCGTAGTTGTGGAGACCGAGGCGACCAAGTGCAATGGCGGCGTTTTCGCTAACAGCAGCCTGGACACCGGGGTTGGAGATGATTTCGACGAAACGCTGCAAGAGCTCGGGAGCGAACGGAGAGATCGCCTTGCTGTTGGTCATGACAATCTCACCGGCGGACCAGCAGGCGTTGTTGACCACACTGAAGCCACTGTCGATTTCTTCGTCCAGGATGTTGTCGAGGTCAAGCTGCTTGAGGAGGATGGGGAATATCGTAGACAAGTGGTTCTCGAGCTGGGGGAAGACGTATCTCGCGCAGTCACCGAGAAGGGCGTATGCCGACTGTCGAACGTCGTCCTGGGGGTCCTCGAGGCAGAAGCTGAGGAGCTCGAAGAAAGTCCTCTCGGTGCTGCGCACAAGTTCTTGCTTCTTGTCCTCCTCCAAGGATTGGATGATGGCGCTCAGGAGGTCCAAACTCGTGACGAGGAAATCTTTGTCGGGAGATTCGAGAGAGGGGTTGTTGGTGGCCTGCAGGCTCTGCTCGAGGTTGTTGTGGATGATGTTGACACATCGGGTGAAGATGGGCTGCGCGTACGGCGTGAAGGCGGACCCAAGGGCCATGGCAACGTATGACAAGCACTCCAAAAGGGGGAATAGCTCGCGCGAGTCATCGCTGACCTTCTGGTAGCGGTCGATGAGAGCCGGCATAAGCAGGTTCATGGCCTCGGGCTGGGCAATGACAGGACCGATGTTCTCCGCCAGGGTTTGCACGCAGTCATACAGGATGTACATGTTCCTATCTTTGTACCGGGCGAAGCATCGCACAAACTGCTGCAGGATGGGCATGCAGTACGGCTCCAGAACTTTGCCAGACTTCTCTTCAAGGTTGGCAAAGGCAGAAGCCGCAGCCTCCTGGACCTTCTTGTTCTTGTCGAGCATCTTGCGCAGGATGCCGTCCATAAGAGGCTCGAAGTAAGTGGCCTTCTGTTGGGGGTCCTGCAGGTTGGCCGCCCACTGCGAGTAACGGCCGAGGGTCCAGCAGGTGATTTGTCGCACAATGGGCTCGTTGTCCTCGAGAAGAGACAGGAGGTAGGGGACAAGCTCCGGGAGGTGGGGGGTGACAGCGTTAATGGTACCATCAGCAACAGCACCGAGAGCGAGGACGGCGGCTTCTCTGTACTGCCACTCCTCGTGCTTGAGGTTGCTGGTGAGGTACGGCAGGATGGCGGTAAAAACGGGGTCGGAGAAGTCGCGCGCAAAGACATCGAGTGCGGCAGCGGAGCACTTTCTGATGGTCCAACGCTCGTCAGGGTTCTCGTCGCCGTCATCGAGCTCGTCAATCTCGCCCTCTTCCAGGTCATCGTCCATGCTCGCGAGCTTCTGGTAGGCATTGCCGTTCTGGTTGGGATCCGCAGAGGCCTCGCTTCCGTTAACGGCGCGGCTCGCCTGTTTCTTGGCAAACGTCGGCTTGATGTCCTGCTCGCGATCGTCCTCGTCCTCGTCGTCGGAAGCTCCACCAAGGAGAGCAATATCCTCCCCGCTGTACACCATGCACTCCAACAACAACGGAATGATCTTGTCGAGGTAGGGGGTCAGGGCACGCCACAGGTCGTCGTGCTCGCCTACGGTCAGCCAGAACTCTGCAGCCTCTGAGGCCAATTCTTCGTCATCGCTCTTTTGTTGAGTAATGATGTAATCGACGAGGCCGGCGATGTGCGGCTGCAGCTTATCGGGGCGGGTTTCGACGAGGGAGACGAAGGCGTGGCAGACCTGGCGGCGCACATCGGTGCTCTCGTCGCTGGCGAGCACGAAGAGGTGGGACAGCAGGTTGTCGATGTTGTTGAGCATGGCCTGGGATTTGCGGGGGGTGAAGACGTTGATGGCAGTCAGAGCCTGGGCGCGGACCTTGGGCAGCTGGCTCTTGGTGGCCTCGATAAACTTGGGGAGCAGGTAGTTGAGGGGCCGCTGGCCGTTGTGCTCACGCTCCAGGACCTTGACGTTGTCTTCGCAGATCTTGGCCATGGCGGACATGGCACCTTCCTGGGCCTCGTTGGAGACCTGGCCGTTCTCGTTGCCGATAAGGCTGAGGAGCTGGGGGAGCAGCTCGGGCCAGCTCAGAACGCCGCCTCTTCTCACAATCTCGGTCGCAATGTTGCCGGCAAAGTTGCGGATCTGGGAGTTCTTGTCCTGGATGCCCATGGGGACCGCCATCTTGATGAGGGAAAGGCTGCTCTCGGGGATCTGCTTGTAGCTAGAGCGCACATTGTTCTTCAGCATCATCGCGGCGGCGGACCGCACAATGTGGTAGTCCTGGGCAGAGAATTGAACGCCGGAGGGGGGCTCGGGGCTGGAAAAGAGGTAGGCGAGGTAGTTGTTGATGTCGGGAGACGACTTCGCCTGGGTGAGCATCTGCGCAAGATTGGTCAGTACGGTGGTCGTCAGCGAGGATAGGGGATTCTCACAAGCTCTGCCTGCTTCTGCGCATTCTTGTCGAAGCCGCTGAGCGAGTCCTTGAGGCAAGCGGCCAGCTGGCTCAAGGACTCTGGTGCCGGCTGCCAGGCCATGACTGGCGCCGATGGGGAGAGAAATCGGTTAGGTGTCAAAGGAGGGTAGGAAGGGTCGGAATCGGAGGTAGATCCGGCGACGATGTGTGGTGTCGCGGTCAATCGAAATTGGTTCGCGGTGCGGAATCGCGGGAGAGGGGCAGTCGTTGAAGTTGTTCGTCCAAGACCCAGGACGCAGACGGAGAGCAGTACTAGGAAAGAGGGCAGTGGGCAGTGGCAGTCGATCAGCAGCAACGGGTGGCAGTAGGCGTTGACATTGGTGACGGGCTGGCGAATGGTGGGGTCACCCTGCCAGCTTTTTTTTCGCGATAACTATGGTGCGGCGGAGTAGCGGGTAAGGGAAGGCCCTGTGGGCGGGTGGTAGATGCAGCGCGGAGCAGTTCTATTGGGCGGTTTTGGGGTGGGAAAGGTACGGACAGGCCAGGTCGCAGCGCTAGTGGTGCTGTAGTGATCTGACCCGTGCTGCTGAGTGGGAGTCGGTACGTATTTTCTAGCGAGGGATCTTAGGTAAGGTGCTCTCGGCTATGGAGCCAAAAGTAGTCTGTACCTCGTCTTTTCTGCGTCTGTTCTCAGCTGCAATACCTTACTCAAATTGATGGAGTGTCTGTGTGTGAGAGGAAGGTGGAAGAAGCAAGGTAATACTAAAATTAGCTGTGCCTCTTATCCGCCTCTAAAAGGTCGTCTGCAGCAAAAGTGTAATGCGGTGGTATTGGTGGTGTGTGTGGTGGTGGTGGTGTACCTACGGTAAGGTAATAGGATTTGGCAACGGTGACTTTGCATTCCCCCGCTCCAGTCTCAGTTCTCAGTCGTCGATGGCCATGTTGAATTCAGCATTGTGGTCACAGTTCAGGGTGCAGCTGGGGTTGGGGTTTTGGGCTGGGGACCATGAATGAATGGAGAAAGACACTGGATACTGGATACTCCCACTTTCTCCGTCCCCGTCTCCGTGCCTCCTTCCTGCCGCCATTTTTGTCAGTCTTTCGCCTCCGTCAGTCCTTCCACTTTCCACGGGCAGTCTAGCTTCCAAGTTCCCGTGGCCGTCCGTCTCTTGTTTTGCACATGCACATGCACACCTCACCTGGCACCTCACCTGCTGATAATTACCCACCAAAAAATTCAAGTGACTGCCCCAGCTCACCATGAAGACTTGGCCCGTGCTCCCCTACCCCTCGTTGCTCGTTGCTCCTTCATCAACCACCCAGGCTCAAACATCAGTGGCTCGTTGGCGGGGTGTATCTTATCGATAAGACGCCAGGGTTCACTTTGATCTCAGACATCAGAACGGAGGCATTTGCCTGCTCCTGCTGTTTCGCCCTTGGAATTTGCCAGAAAGAAGGTTTCCACTCCTCCTTCTGGAATGCCATTTTGCGTCTGCCATTGTACAAATCCCACCATCACGCCATCCGATGCAGCACACAAAAAAATAACAGCACAAAAAATAAGAAGGGACACCAAAATATGCAGCATTGTCCCCAACCATTCCATTCCTGCATCTGTCGACGTTGCCAGAAAAACGCAGTGGGACTCCACAACGTCGCACAACCAGGCAAGCCACCTTCCACGCATCCACAGTGACATAGACCGCCATCAGTCTGCCGTCAACATTTCTTCTTGCGTCTTTCCGAGGACACCACAGTCCACCCTGCGAGCCCGCGATGTAAAGACCTCCTTCTTAAGGGCCCAAGGCCCAAGGGGCGAGGATCAAACTCATGGGTCCCATAGACCTGACGCCGCCAGGGGTTCCCGCCCCTTGGTCAAGTGAACCGGACAAAGTTGCGGGCGGATGATTCTGGACCAGACAGACTCATGCTTTTGCTGCTTTCCGAGTCATCAACTCCCAGCAGAAGAAGATGGAAAGAAGCTCCCAGGTTCATGGTATTACGTGCAGATCCTGTGACTTGTCAGAGCGCATCCTCCGCAAACATGAGCCGAACTTCTGCCACGAAACAGGACCAAACGCAGCCATGTGGCCACACACAAGTGAGAGCGACACCGGACGATCGCAGTTTGCTTAACATGATGCCTATCCGTAGCCTCGTTTGCGCTTCCCACGCAAACGCAAACGCCTTCCAGAACATGTCAAAACGTGGGGCACGGGATGTCATGACCTCAAATCATCAGTCCGAGCAAAAACAGGGTTGGGAAGCGTATCCGTATATTCATCATCATGACTCTGGAACCGCAGAGCGCCGTGACACCCTCCATCATCTCCGTGCCGACGTCAGGTCAAAAGTTCGGTCTTCATGTCGACAGCCGTCAGGCTCGTACATGCCATTGCCATGCCCACGCCATGCCACGCGCCTGAGCAAAGCAAACCCGCCAATTCCGCACACGCCTGACGGCCCGAAGCCACACGTCTCGCCCGCATCGCCCGTCCACCGGTCCGCCGAGACAAACTCGCGAAGCCCAGCCCGGCACGCCGCATGTTTCCCTCCGTGTAACCGCCCCCGCTCCGCTTCGGGAAGTCGCAAGCAGCCCTTGATCTGTTTTGGGAACTGGGCCAAGTGGCCAGCAATAGAAACCCCAAAGACCTGTGTGACCCTTCTCTCTCTCCCTCTCCTGAATATCATTCCCTTCCAAGATCCCTTGCGCTTCTTGCTACATGTACTCAGCCGAGCCGCACACACGCACACAAAGTACCCTTCAGGGACCGCCGTTGACGACGGCCGCCTGCCCCTTGAGCCTCGCCATGACGACGTCCACGACCGCGCGGAACGCCACCATCTCCTCCTCGACCGACAGCGCCATGGCGTTGCCGCCCAGGTTCATCGAGCAGCCGACGTAGACGGGCATGTCGGCCCGCTTGGCGAGCAGCTTGGCCATCCGCGTGGTGAACTCGAGCGTCGACTCCACCGAGTAGATGTCTGTCGAGAGGGGCTGCGCGGGATCAAGTCTCTGTAGTATTTGGTCAGCGGTGATCTCGCAGCTCGGACGGAGAAACTTACGTTGGGGAGGGCGTAGACGAAGGAGCCTAGTGATGCTGTCGATGAGGGCTCATCTTGCGTTGTGGAGGTGAGGAAGAGGGTGGCGGCTTTGGCCTTGACGGTGAGGTGGATGTGGATGCGGGTGTCGAGGGAGTGTGGGAGGGGGATGGAAAGCTGAGTGACGTTGTTTAATGTCATTTTGGCGTTTTCCTTTTGACTTCCCCCTAAAATTGGTGTATGTCGTCTGTTGAGAGAACGTGTGAGGTTGTGATGTAAACGCTGATGGAGGTGAGTGTTCTGCCAAGTGTGCTTTTCTGGTCTTGCACTGTGTTGGAACTGTGCCCAGCATCATAGCCAACGCAACACATAAGACAACATGGAAGGCATCGCCAGCGAACGTAAGTAAGACCTCATACCACTAAGATATTATTATGAAATACCTCCCTTACTGGATGAATGACATTGGAATCTTGGCCGAGTCGGCTGCCTTTGCGTTATGCCATGCACTTACCCAAGCTCGCTTGGGTAATTCAATTAGCGCGGTTCTGCTGACTTTACCGGGCTCTTGCTGACTCAGCGGTAGGATTACTGATCATAACACACCTCACCCCATCCTCCTTTCATACTGGGCATTTCTCTTAATCATACTCAATCAACTTCTTTTCAATCGATCGCTCTGTAGCGAAAGATCAATCACTACACCTTAATCATTGAACAGGAGCATACAGTGATCTGCGATACGACCCTGTCTAGAACACAGCGGTGTTGCGCTAGGGACGTCCGTTGTTGTTCATGGCGTGAGACCCATCATCGCCATCGTCGTCATCCTCAGTTTCTTCTCATTCATTTTTCTCAGTTAGGAAATTTACATGACTGCTTTTCAAACTACACGTTATTCTTGTACTCCCCTTTGAACTAACATAATCCAGGAAGACAAGATGAAGAACTTCCTCCTCTTCCTCCTTCCGTATCTCTATGACGAAAAACATCCACTACTAACTAAACACGCCTTATGGGGCCAGAGACGCGGCGCCCTATTTCTCCTATCAAGGGAATCTGCCGATAAGTTCTCTCACCAACGGCTTTACATCAGTACCTTGAAGATACTCTTTCTCCAGACACTAACCGCAAAAGAGAAGAAAGCTATAACGTATCAACTGTCAGTGATCAGGTTTTCTAGTATAACCGCAATTACACTAACCGTTATCCCCCACAAAGTGCTTCCACCAGCCTCCTGAACCCACGAGATTCGTCTGCAAGCTTCCCTAATCAGATAGTATTCCACTATAGCCGGGCACAAGTCTTCATGCGGTTGATAAGGATTCGTGATAGGCCAGGGGTTCTAGCCATGCGAGTTACTTAGATTCGGTTGTCAACGGCGGAGTCACCAGACCCCTTTACATTTTCTATAAATGGGCTCCATTCCCAGTTGCTAGTTGGTGGTTCTCATTTCGTGATCCAAATCTACTACAAGGTTGCTGATCCTCTGGTCAATCATGGCAATCTTTTCACGCAAGACCGAGGCATTATGCCTCGGTTTCATTTCACTGACGCAGGCTGCAGCTCTCCTACCTCACTCATACTTCTGGGAAGAGAACGGAACGCACTACTGGTCGTCCCGAGACGGAGGCGACTCCGTCTCCTTGGGTATCAAAGCAGGCAGAAACCAAACCATTGCAACATCGACCAGCAAATGTACAGTCTTCACAGGAAACGACTCGATTCCCATCACGTCGAATCTTCTGAGTTCGTTTATCGACTCGTACGGCTCGACAGATGACGTTTGGTCTGATTCCTTCCTCGACTGTATCGTCATACAGGGGGGAGCCATTGGATCCATCTCAGACTTTGTGGTGGGCAACAACGTTACGACTGTTCTGACCGACAGAGTTAGCAACGTTCAGCTACCTCAATCTGTTGCATTCTACACCATACAGGGAAGCACCGAAAGGTCCCTTAGCAACGGTCCGTATGTTGCGTCCACCACTCCCAACGGCATTGTTGAACTATCTCCAGTCTATGCTGTTCATGAGGCAACTCCCCCCTCCCACCTTTCTTTCACCGAACATTTCTGACCCCTGAACAGGACACTTCTCTCAGCTTCATGAGCGGCAGCCTACTCCTCAACGCCTCATCCGACTCATACATCGCCACGCACTTCGGAATTCCATGTGCTCTCCAGCAAGGCATTGCCGTGCCATCTCGCCTTTCATCCCTGCCTGCCACGAAAGACGGCCCTCTCGCGGGGCTGCGTTTCGCCGTCAAGGACGTCATCGACGTCAAGGGCATGAAGACCTCGGGCGGCTGCCGCGCGTACTACCAGACATACGGCCCCCGGGACGCCTCGGCCGACGCCGTCAGCGAGTTCGTGCGAGGCGGGGCGAAGCTCGTCGGGAAGCTGCGCACGACGGCCTTCGCCCAGACCACCCCCGTCAACGGCGGCGAGATCGACTACCAAGACCCCTGGAACCCGCGCGGCGACGGATACCAGACCACAGGCGGGAGCAGCAGCGGTTCCGGCTCCGCGGTGTCGTCGTACGACTGGATCGACTTCGCCCTGGGATCCGACACGGGCGGAAGCGTGAGGTTCCCGGCGAGGTTCGCGGGGTTGTACGGCTACAAGCCGACATGGGGCGTCCACAGTATGAAGGGCGTTTTCAACGGCGTGTCGGAGCTAGATACCGTTGGCTTTTTGGCCCGTTCTCCCTCTACTTTCATCACTCTTGCCAGGTACTGGGCTAGAGGGACATCGCTGGACACGCTTGCGGCATCGGTTCTTCCGCCGACGCTGACGTATTGGGCCGACGAGCCAGCGCTGGAGCAGGCCGAGGCGGAGAAGCTGAAGCAAGACTTCTTCGCCAAGGTAGTCGCACTCACCGGCCTGCAGACGACCAGCGTCAACGTCACGGAGAAGTGGAGGGCGTACACCGGGCTCGAGGGCGAGCTCGAGAGCCACACGGGCGACGTCGGCGGGCTGATGGGCCCGGTGCAGTTCTGGGACACCGTCGGCGCCGATCTCGTGGAGAAGTACGGCGAGGCGAACGACGGCGCCTGGCCCCCGTCGGACGCCACGGTGCAGGAGTTCATGGCCAAGGGCTCCGACGCCACCACCCGCGGGCTGTATCCCGAGTACGACCGGCGGAGGAGGCTGTTCGCGGAGTTCTGGAACACGCAGGTCAGCCGCCGCGCCCTGAACGGCTCGGACACGTGCGGCGAGCGCATCATCATGCACTCGACCCACGTCGCCCCTCTGCAGGAGAAGGTGAAGGCGTCGGTCAGCCACCCGAACCCCGAGACCAACATTTACCAAAACATTGCGGGTACGCCTGAGATCGTGGTGCCCATCGGTCAGGTTACGTACTTTAGCCCGTACACGAGGAAGGACGAGAAGATTCCCGTCACGGTCTCGTTTGCTGGGGCCAAGGGCTGCGACCTGCAGCTCTTTGCGCTGTTGGAGAAGCTGATGCATGCTGGTCTCGTCAAGGAAGTCTTGGCTGGAAAGCTCGCTTACCCCCTTGAGTGATCTAGGTCACTTCTGGCAAACGTAAAGATCAGTAAATTGGTAGAGGGACTTGTACTTTTCGTGAACAAACAAGTGTCCTCAATCTTGACGATGGTGTGCGCAAGGCGAGAGGCCAAAGGATTCCCGAGAACTCGGATAAGGTCCCGGGACTACGGCTTGAAGTTGGGAGCGCGTGGAGGGTATCTCGGGCTTCCGGCCCCGGTACGGGGTTTTGGATTGCAGTCAAAAGTCGAAACCCAGAATAATCACCGATACCACAGGAGTACAGCTGTTTACAGCTACCGATAGACGAGGGGAACATTGATACAAGCCAACTCGATATATTAGGTATTACAATCTAACCACCTCCCACTACAGACTGCAGTTGTTCTCTAGAATGCCCCCTGCTTCCCCGCGCAGTTTCTCGCTGCTGTTGAAGCCCTTGTCCGAGTTGGTCCGCGGGTCGTCCTGTTCATAGAGCAAGAGCGAGGGATCGTTTGTGGTGGTAGTAGATGTCTTGGTGGACGAAGAGGAAGAGAAGGAAGAGGAGGACTTTGTCACAGCGGGACATCTCGTCCGCATGTCCCACAAGTTCTCGATGTGGCCGCCGTCACCTTCTTTCTGTACTGGTGTACACGACGACCGGCCAGAAGGGGATCGCAGCCGGGACGGGCCAGAAGGCGTCGGCGGCGTTTCTCCTCATGCAGTTTTACGTTGGGTTAAGTGACGAAATCGACTACGTACTCGGATATGATGAACAAATGGACTTGAAAATCATCTCTTTCGAAGGGCCGCACGTATCCTGGCCAAAGACGCAGCCGCCCCGGGAGGGACAGGAAGCGGCGTGCCACCCCCGTGCGCTCGAAGCCAGCTCTGCTTCTCCGTCACCTCGTGCTTCGGCCCCTTGTCCACCATCCACGCCATTTCCGCCGACTGGGGATACGGCTCAGGCCGTGCAACCGCCTTGGCCAGCAAGATCTCGGGACGTAAGCCCATAAGCCAGGGATGCACAGCTGTCGTTCTCTATCGTTAGCCAAAGTACCCTCCAACCTGTGACTCTTGCCACAGCTGAGGCTCGACTCACCGCTGACGTAGTCATGGACCGTGATGAAGTGGCCCCCCTCGGCCGGCCTGACCACGAGCTTCTGCCCCGTCTTCCCGAGCGGTCGGTCCTCCCCACAGCATCGGATGAGGAACTCCGTGTCCGAGTCCTCCTCCCAGCTGCCGTCCTCCTTTTGCTCCGTTGCGTACGGCCTATGGTCGTCGCTCAGATCGCCGTACGTGACATACTCCGGGTCGGCCGGCTCCCCCTCATGCCACCCGTGCCACGCCACCCAGTCGAACTCCCACTGGTCCATGTCGTAGACGGACGCCTCGATCGACGAGACCCTGGGCTCCGTCAAGGGCAGCTGCGCGATCTCGTGCCAGATGTCGCCCTCAAGGGTCTGCTGGAAGAACGGCTCGAGGTCGTCCGGGCTGCGGGGCGTCTTCATGACGGAGAGCGCGGTGGGGAAGACGCCGTCGAGGGGCCAGAAGAGACGCTTGGCGGCGGGCGAGAAATCGACACGAGCAGTTTCATCGTCGCAGAGTTCTTTCCAGCTGCGATACGGAGGGCCCTCGTCCAGCAGGCCTGCTGGTTCGGAAGACGTTGCCATTCCTGTTGTGTTGATGTTTGTGGTTGTGATGTTGGTTTGGATAAGCACACCTTTTTGTCTGCAGATGCATGGTAGGTACCTAGGTAGTGAGGTGTGGAACTTTAGCAACGCAGTGGGCAACGCGTTGGCAGTCATTTGCGTTGGCCCTCTTAACCAGAACCCGTGGCAGCGCGCGATTTTCCAAACTGCCCAGTCGCTTGAGAAATACTTAGGATCATACACTTATTTTAATTCTACTAAACACTTTCATAGTATAGAAAGCACATAAATACATATGTGATAGGTTAGCCGTCTGACAGCTTGCAACAGATTGGTCCATGCTGCTGTGGCTGGATAGGAGGGCGTGTCAAACAGATCGGGTGGATTGTCGCTCAAGATTCCTATCCTATGCGTTGCAACTCGCATGCTTCCGGCCTGCAGCTGGTGAAGTGAGTTCGTCCTGCTTTCATCCTTGGCTGGCTGTTGATCCACGTAGTTCATCATGGACCTGTGGCACGACCCTAGATCTTCAAGCATCAACTTATGAGACACCTGAAGGCTCTACGGCTCTACTTGTGTCGAGTTTATACGATTTCATGGGAGCAGGGCGTCATCTTTATTACTTCAATTCAAATAGTCATATATAATAGTTACTTAAATACAGCGGGCGTGTCCCTTGCAGTCCTTATATACCATCAGAGATAAACGGAAGTTTCTAGCTAGATCGTCTCGTTATCAGAGTCTAAAACCTCGACTGATCTTTTTGGAAAAGAATGAGATTCTTATCATCCATTTCTTCTTCCAATTCTTTCAAGCTCTTCCTCATTCCCTCCTTATTACTGCAAGCAACACAAAAGGCCCGTATCTTGGGTCCGTTTCGCCTGGACACCATCAACCTTGTGAGCATAATTCGAAGAAAGTCGCCCCGGATACGATCGACCCTGTCCAGAACGATATACACCAAATCAAAATGTCCAAGAATATCAGACAGAAGACCAAATGCCACATCCAAGCCTCGACTCCCTGCGCCGTCGACCTCTGCGATCCTTTGGCGCAGGCTGTCGAACTTGCTGACGTCGCGGAGGGTTGACGGATTCGCCTCGAGGAGCTGAAACAGCAGACTTACAACAACACCCAGAGATGTGGCCTGGTCCTTGTCTGTCATGAAGTCCGCCTTTTGGCAATAGAGGTCCACCACGGCAACTCCGCCGTAGGCGGCGTCTATCGAAGCCTCCCGCTTCAAGGCGGACGCCACCTCGATGGCAGCTGGTGAGAGCCAACAACACGAAGTCTGATCAGCAATCGTTCTTCCACTCACCACCAACATGCAGTTGGACCTGCTGTTCTTCCATGCAGCGTAAGCCTTCTCCTGCATCACCTGGTCAGCCCCAAACCGGGGAAGACCTGGCGGGAGATCGAAAGCCCCGTTTAGAAGCCTCGAGTAGTCATCGACAGTTTTGTTGGGTTGAATGAGATAGCGCAATAGTTCGCTTCTCAATGTTACGAGTCTTTTCTTCTCGTCGTTGGTGTGAATCTCTAATGCATAATCAGTCATGCCTAAACTGCCCATCTATGCGGGGTTTCGTACGATCGAGGTCGCCTTGTAGCTGAGCGACATTTTCTGTCATATGGTCCATTTTGATATGCAGGACATGCACGCTCTTGGTTAGGAGCGTGTCTCGTTCTTTCTCAATCTGTATCATTGCTGCCGAGATCTCGCTAACTTTCCGGTTGAGAAGAAAGGGTGGTCTGACGACAGCGTCCCATAAACGGCCTGCAATAGAACTCCTCAATCAGTCACCGAACCCCGTGGGCCACGATTGGAATGCAAACATACGCCATGTTGGCCGAGAGTAGTGACTTATGGCCTCTTGCATGAATTCGATGCCGAGTTTGAACACCGTGGTTATGTACATGCTCATCATTGGCGTGTGGTAGATCTCAGAGAGCAGTACCATGCGGGAGTATTCTCTCTTTAGGTTGTTGAGGGCCTCAGAAACGAGGTCGTCCTTCCTCTTGGTGTTGACAGCTACCTGAGACACAAGAAAGAAACGTCAGTTGGACTTTTGACCGCAAGAGAGGTTTGGGCTGGTGTAATTACCGCCAGGAGGACAGAAAGCGCCGTGTAACCAGCCCCTCCATAACCCTGATCCGCCCCTTTCACGATCTCAATAATGCCTGAGAACTCGCCGACAAACTCTACAAAGTTATTTAAGAATGATATGGCTCGGTTTGCGGATGCGCTCCTCGTCGCCCAGTCTTGTTGTTGCCTTTCAGCCCGCGTCATCTCTTCTTGGATTAGACGCCGCAAGTCATTTTCACCCATTTCTTCGAGTGAAGTAGCCGAGAAAGTGGCTGCGTTTGCAGCACGCATCGCTCTGGCATGCTGGATACCTGTGGCTACCGTCTGCCGAGCCTTGTCTGCCTGTGCCAGGGTCTGTCTGCGGATAGCGAGTGTCATTAACTGGAATCAGCGGGCTTTGAAGCCAGCTGGATTGAGAGTATACCTCTTCTCTTCATCCGTCCACCTGGCCTCTACATTATGCCAAAATCCGGATGTGAGGGCCTTTTGTGTCTCCGTTTTGGCTTTCCTGCGTTTCTCTGCCTCGCTTCCAACAAGGGGCCCCAGGTTTGACTGCGGCATCGTGAATGTCTGGGAGACAGCTGCTTGTATCGGTGATGTACAAGATATATAACAAAAAGTTGGAGGGTTATCACGCTATGAGCATCATGGCTCTTCTGCCTTCGTCAGGCACTTGGAAAATCTGACGGAATTGAGAACGAACGAAACAATAAGGAGCTGTTAGATATGGGAAAGTTCGTAGATAGGGCCGGTCCGAATCGCTGGGGAAGGTCTGAAATGCGGCTTTGCGGCGTTTTCACTTAGCTGTAAAAGTTCCGGGCTTCCAGTCCAGTTGCTGCCAAGAGGACCTCATACGATTGAATTTAATGAAATTTCTCGTATTTCTGCAAGCCTCAGTGATATTTCACGTCATTCAAGGGTCGAATCCTTTCTAAATTCTCACATGGAAGTGATTCTTCGTGTGACTGGTCGCCTGATGATGCAGGTAACCATCCAATGCATCGAGGCCTGTTCGATGTTGCCCGCCAAGTCCTCAGCCTGCTTCTCAGCCTGCTTCTAACCGGTTTCCCTCTGCGCCCCAAGAAGGATGGTTGCGTGATTGATGGAAATTGGCGGTAGAACGAGAAGAAGGGCCGACGTGCGCTTGCGAGTTTCGGGCTCCCGTGAACGCTCCCGCCTGCGACTCGAGTCACCGTCAATTCCTGTTTTAAAGGCCTCGTCCATGAGACGTTGGGGTACCCCAGTGTTTCTATCATCCAGACACCTTTTTGTATGTCAGAATCCTGACCACAAGATGTCAGCCCCCGAGCAGCAAAACAATGCGCCAGCAGCGGGCGAGGTTGCCACGGAGGAAAAGTCGATCGAGGCAAGGTACATCGAGCTCCTGGAACGACACGTTCGCCTACTCGAAGGCAAGTTGAAGGTTAGTAATACTTTATTGCAGATTTGTTGGTGTATTAATGTTCATGGTTGAATAGGCTGGAGACGGCAACGTCGCAGATCCGCCGAAGGGGAAGGCCTCTCACGTTCGCTCGGACAGCACCGTCGCCCAGGCTGGAGCGGATGGAAAAGACGGCGAAGAGAAGAACGGCACTGCATCATCTGGCGAAAAGAGAGTTCAATACCGCAAGAAAGTGATCAACGAGTCCGGCTTCCTGGTTGAGGAGCCCTACGAACATGAAGCCAAGAAGCCCGAAACGCCCAAGGAGGAGCAATCACGGACTGCAGCCACGGTGATTAAGTATTTCGACTCCAGGCAGGTCAACTACGATACAGAGATCAAGATAGAGAGCGCGGCCGCCAGAGAAATCCTTCAGGAGAAGCTTAGACACTACCCAGACTTCCACTGGGATAACCCAAACCTCAGCATCCTGACACCCTTTACGCCATTGGTTCACAACTGGGACATTCTTGAAGAGGCATCGAAGGGAGACACAAACGGCGCACGCGACCTGGCCGCCATTTTAGATGCCGTCAAGGATACCGGCGGGGTCAAGGACTATCTCGAGAAGCAGGAGTCCACGAATGACCTTGTCTCTTTCGGGTTGCTTTGGACGGTCTTCAAGCCAGGCGAGTTAGTGCTCATGCCCAGCTCCTTCATGAAGAGGAAACAAGCCTTCATCCTCCGCAATACAACTGTGCGCCAGCTCCATCCCGGCTCACGAAAGACTTACATGTCTGCCTCCTGCTGGGCATACGACTGGAACGGGTTGGAGCGGACGTTCAATCGCGTGGGCGTCGAGCTGAAGATCGAGTCTTACAAAGGCCAGAAACTTGTCACGAGCCTGCCATTCTACCCACTCAGCTTCTACAAGGGGGACGTAGAAGAGCTTCGAACAGAGCTGATTGATCGTGGAAAGCGGTTTCGGGAGTTCTGCATCAGCCCGCCAGGAAAGCAGATGTTCGAGTATGATGGTATGGCGCATTATCGGGGAACTGGACTTCGTCGCCTGGAGGGGGCCGATAAATCTGGCAGCTTGGTGAGTGGACATGGAGGCCCCCCTCTCTGGAGACTACTAGGTGTTTTATTGACAACCAGAGCAGCCAGATGATTCCATGTCGGTCACCCACAATATTCCGCCCCCTTTTAATCGCTCCATATCGTCTGATCCAACAGGCGGCAGCGGCAGATCACTTACTGTGAGATACAGATACAATTCTCCGTTGTCGTCCTCATTACTAACACATATTTGTTAGATGAAAGGAAAGGTGATGGTTGACTTTGAATCCTATTCTCGACACGGGCCCAACGAGCCCATCCCAATGGGAGAGCTTACCGTCTCTGAAGATGACAAGGACGAAGAGTGTCGGTGCCTCAAGTGTGAGCATGAGGACGGGCCAAGGGGTAACCAACGTTACGACTGGGATGAAGTTCAGCCTAGTGATACCTTCAGCGACGACCAGTATCTCATTTGCCCACCTCGTGTCTTGGGCTACCACCTGATGGAGAAGAAGTGGGTTGAGCTTCTAGTCGACAAGGTGCAAGTCATCATGAACAAACAGGTCAAACACGCCTTCGACAAGCTGCAGCTGGGGGCCAAGCAGAAAGAACTGATCAGCCAGCTGGTGAGCGGCCACGCCAACGACAAAACGAGCGATGGGAAGTCGCTGCGCGGCCGAATGAACGATCTTACGAAAGGAAAGGGGGAAGGCCTTGTGATTCTTCTGCATGGTGCGCTCATTTCACCCCATCCCTCGCAGGGTCCCTTCCATGCACTGACGCATTTAAAGGCCCACCGGGAGTTGGAAAGACTTTGACGGCAGGTAAGTGCAAAGCCTACCAGGTGCCGCTTCGCTCGGTAACTTACAAAACTCTAGAGAGCGTTGCTCAACTCACCGGGAAGCCACTGTTCCCAATGGGCGTTGGAGATATCACCACGGATCCATCATTGGTCGAGAAACGATTAGAGCAGCTCTTCGAACTTGCTGCAGCTTGGCAAGCTGTGATGCTTTTGTAAGGCCTTCTTAAATTCATTCTATACCAAGTCCTGCGTTTGCTGACAGGTGCCCACCAGTGACGAGGCAGATGTCTTCCTCGAGAGCCGAGCCACAACCACCGACGTGACCCGCGTGGGATTGGTGTCGGGTATGTTTCTTCGGATGGGCCGTGATAAGCGTACATCACTGATATTTTGAATAGTCCTGCTCCGAGTACTCGAATATTACCAGGGCATCCTGATCCTCACGACGAACCGAATCCGCTCCTTTGACATTGCAGTCCAGTCGCGCATCAACCTCGCCGTACAATTTGCAGACTTAAAGGAGAAGCAGAAGATCAACATCTTCAGTAACTTCATTGATCAAATCCCTGCTGCATTCGTCGAGGAGAAGAGAAAGATTCTTCATTTTCTTACTGACGACGATGAAGCTGCCAACAGACTTAGTGAACTCAATGGGAGGCAGGTGCGCAACATTGTCTTCTCGGCTGCATCCCTAGCTGGCAACCGACAAGACCCGGATAATGTTCTGAGGCTGGAAGATGTGAAGCGTATGCTGGACGAGACGTGGAACTTTCAGCACCATTTGCGTGAGTTGACCAAGGCAGCCCGAGAGAAGAATGAATGAAGGTGAAGACTGGTAAGGGCATATGTCTGCAGGGGCGCTATTCAGCTAGCCGTTCTCTTATATCCGTCCTCGTTTTCTTTAGTGGAATATATATATGTGCGTAATGAGAATTGCCTCCTAGGCTACATGTATGCTTTTATAGCTCTTTTCCGCTCCGAAGGTGCTAAATATCTTGTGATTCATGATCCTGTGGAAACCGCGTCTTTGGTGCCCCAGACTTGGGTCGGTGGAGTAGGTAAAAGAGAACTTTCAACTGTCATGGGAGTAGTCGGCTTGATTCAGTCATCGTCTTTCATTTATGAGAATCTCCATCTGCTTTGAACTGAGTCTCAGGATATATATATCTCAGTCTCAACCTCAGCCTTAAACTGCTCAACCGCCCCAACTATATTCTTAGTAAAATTAGCACTCAGCATCCTGCTGAAAATAGCTAGAAACCCACCGCTGATGAATATAGCAACTTTTGCAAAGTCGTCACCACAGCATTTCTCGAGAAGGGGGGCAATATTACTATCTGTGATGTGACATAATCACACACACACACACACACTCTCTCTCTCTCTCTCTCTCTCTCTCTCTCTCTCTCTCTCTCTCTCTCTCTCTCTCTCTCTCTCTCTCTCTCTCTCTCTCTTTAACAGTGAGTATCTATTCCCTCTGACTGACTCAACGTAAGTCGAAGCGCGAACAGTCCTCCAAAGCTTCCTCCGTCTCCATCCTCCACGCCTGAAGACCCAGCGTCCAGAAGAGAGGCTCCTTCACTTTGCCTGGTATATTGGAGCCGTTCCACCATGACGGTGTGTCTTTGGCCAGTGACTGACTATAAGCCTCCAGATTGCGCTGTACGTACGCTTTCGCTACGTCAGGTTTCACCTCAAACGTACTCTTTGACTCCTTTTCGAGATTGACCAAAAACCGAACGACCCAGTCGACCTGCATCTCGAGAAAAGGGGGACCGTTTGCAAGACCAGACGGTGCTTGTGGGCCGTAAATACAGATTGCATTGGGAAGCCCAGGGGCGAACATGCCCAGATATGTTTGGATGCCGTTGGCCCAGCGGTCTTGCAGTTTGATGCCGTCTTTGTCGATAATGTTCATCTCATACAGGCTGCCTGTGACGGAGTCGTAGCCCGTGGCCATGATGACGATGTCAAGTTCGTGGTCGATGTCTCCCTCAAGCCCGCCTGTTGTGACGCCTGAAGGGGTGAAGCTCCGAATGGGATCCTGCTTGAGGTTTACGAGCTTGACGTTGGGCCGATCGATCATCTCGTAGTAGTCCATCTCGAGGTTGGGTCTCTTGGTCCCGATCCACTGGAATTGCTCTAGGGGCGCCATGATGTCTCGCTTCACCGGGTCCGTGATGCGGGCTCGCACAGTTTTAGCCCAATACTGGTACAGCTCGGCGTTGGCCTCTTTGATGTATGTGTGCTCGGGGAAATTGGAGGTCAGAATCGAATAGCTGCCCCTACGCCAGAGATCGGCATAGAACCGCTCGCGCTCCTCAAGCGTTGAATCGAAGTAACCGGCGCGAGGACCGTTGTATGCGTAGCCCGCCTCGTTCTTGTTCTTGGCGTGGTAGAAAAGAGTCTGATACATGTTCTTCTGCTCCTCGGCCTCAGCAACTGTGATAGGGCGTTGTGCCATCGGTAGGGCTGTGGGTGGATTGCGCAGAAATACGGTAATTTCGGCGTCCTCTTTGGCCAGTTCCTGGAGAATCTGCAACCCAGACGCGCCCTGACCTACGATTCCCACCTTCTTTTTTCTCAGGTCCAGCTCGGACGGCCAGCGGCAGGGATGCAGCACGGTGCCTTTGAAGTTGTCGAGGCCAGAAAAGCTGGGTATGTACGGTTTGTTGGTTGTACCAGTTGCAAAGATGGCATATTGGGCTGTCGCCTCGATCCCATTGTCGGTTTTGAGCACCCATCGAGTGGATGAATGATGGTAAGTGGCGTTGATCACACGAGTATTGAAAATGGCATCCTTATGCAAGTCCAGCTCCTTGGACATGTGAGCAAAGTATCGGCGGAGCTCAATGTGATCAGGGAAGCGCTCGGTGAAGTTGAAGGATCGAGCGGCCTCTGGTACGCTGAGCTGGTAAAGAGGCACCTCGGAGTCCACCCGCGCGCCGGGGTAAGAGTTGAAATGCCAAACTCCACCGAGATCGCTGCCGGCCTCGATCAGCTTGACTTGGTATCCGGCTTGACGCAGCGAGTGCAGCGCGTAACACCCTCCGAAGCCACCGCCGACGATGATGATATCGGCCGAGACGGTCTTGGGGCATTGAGTAGGGGACTCGTGTGCGGGAGCCATTCTGAGTGTTTCTTGAAAAGGAGATGTTTTTATTGATGCAAGCCTGCTAGCCTGGTAACGTGCGCGTCTGGAACAGTGATGATGGGAGATTGTGATAAGAGTCGAAACTGGTTGAGACTTGCGAAGACGTCGGTGCGATAGACCAGCTAACTTATACGTATCCCGTCAAGTGCCGACCAACGCCAAAAAAATACGTATATGCGGAGTAAGCTAGTGCATTTGTTTAGGAGATTCTTTTATCTAGGTAATCAAAACATTCCAAATGCCTGTTTTGGGGCAAATTTGGGCAGCATTCCTTTTAGCGCTGGTTGTCACTCGGTGGGATAGCTTCGAAGGGGTAAAAGGCGAAGGCATTTACGGGTCTTGTTAGACCGGCATCATGCAACGGAGAGTATTCGGGCCCGTTAATTTTCGATTCAGTTGAGGTGTCCGAGGAAGCCGTGGGTGTTCCAACCCTGGACACATTATCTCGGAGTCTTGGCCTGGACTGATGACGGGAGCATGCCAAGCGGAGGCTCCGTAAGCCCGGGACAGTGGGTCCCGTGTCCCGTGTCCCGTGTCCCGTGTCCCGGGCTCCCGGAGTCCGGTTATTCATACTGCGCAATGTAGTATCTATACTGCTACATACTTCTAAACTGCCGCCCAGCGTGTTTATAAGTATAAAATTACTCTATTTTACAACTACTTTTACCTAAGAAAAAAATACTAATTCAAAGTTTAAATAATACATTTACTGGTACTAAGAAGGCCTAAATAGGTAGTACATCAATTATTAGCCTCTTATGAAGATATATAAGAGTGGGTAGTAGTAAAGATACTATTCTACGCAGTATGAATGACCGGACTCAGCGGCCTAAGGCCCTCTTACCCCCGATGTTCGTCGGGTTCCGAAACTCCGCGCCCTGACAAGATGAATGGAGGCGACGTTGTGGTGCTCAGGATGAATAGTCCCAAACAACATGCGCAGGATGGTACATAAGACATGAAGACGCGAAACCAGAAATCGATATATCCCGAGCCAATTAGTATAAGACGGCTCACAAGCTGTGCAGATTTTCCAAGCAGTCCATTCATCTAGCCGCTGATCTCTGTTACTTACGTCTGAGGATCTGCAGTTTCTTAACAGTCGCCCTATCCTCCTCTTCTTTTCGTGTTCCTCTCCCTCTCCATCTCCTGATCTCTTAACGACGTACATGGCCATGGGTCTTTCTGTTGACGCGGAGTTTCTCTCAGCCCTTAAGCCCTTCCTAGAGGGCCAGGCGCAGGTAGAGAAGCCGCAGCTCCATGACGTCGCTGCCCGAAGGGCGCGCTACGATGCCATTGGTGGCCAAGTGCCCATAATCCCAGAGTCGGTTGTGTTCGAGACTCTGATGATTCGTCAAGAGGAAGGGCCTGGGCTACGCGTGTACCATCTGAAACCACAGAATATCAGCTCTTCTACCGCCGCCGCTGTTCACTTTCACGGTGGGGGCTTGATCTCCTGTACTCCTGACATCGCCACCGAGCGCCTCGCCTCTTACGTCCGAGATACTGGTGTTCAGATCTTCTCAGTCGACTATAGGCTCGCGCCAGAGCATCGCTACCCTGCTGCCCTCGACGACGGCTGGTTCACTCTTGCTTGGGTTCATGAGAACGCTCCGCAGCTTCTGGTCGACCGGACTCGCATCGCCGTCATGGGAGATAGCGCCGGCGGCGGGCTTGCCGCAGCCCTGAGTATTCGAGCGCGAGACGAGCAGCTTTCACCACCCATCGCGCGTCAAATTCTCTGCTCTCCGATGCTCGATGACCGCACCACAGGCGATGTTCCCGGCGACTTCAAGCTTTGGGATGCCGAAGACAACCTCACGGCATGGACGGCATACCTGGGCGAATCACCTGGTGGGAACGAAGTCCCAGCAACGGCTGCACCAGCTAGGGTGGCGGAGGTGGAGGGCCTTCCTCCCTTGTACTTGGATACGAGCCAGTTTGATCTCTTTGTAAAGGAAAACTTGGATTGGGTGCGCCGGTTTGTCGAGGCCGGTGTCGAGGTTGAGTGCCATGTCAGCCCAGGCCTCCCTCACGGCTTCGACAGCCTCTTGCCATCCCATCGGGTGACGCTAGAGTACGAAGAGCACAGGAAGAGAAACCTGAGGATGTTGTAAGGATGAGCTGTTTCAGTCAATAGTTCACGCCTCTGGAGAATAAAGTCACTTCTTGTGGAATGTCTACCATTGTTTGACAATCAACCAGTATTGAAACCATTTTAGCTAATACTGCCCTTCTTTGTGAAGTTCCACCCCGTTCTCTCTTGATTTTGTGATGCGATTTATGATTTGTCGAGAACCATGATACATCAATCTGAGTTCTTTATTGTGATTAGATATGCACTCATATATGGTCACTGTCTGACGATATATCGCAAAGGTACATGCTAGAGTTTATGTGCGTATAGAAAAGTCTGGTTAACATGTTCTCTAGGTTCAGACCCTTACCGTCCGTTACTTGCGCTCGCCGTCTGCTGCAGACGGCCACCTGCAAATTGGTGATCTCGTTCATAGCAATGAATCCACGCGTCACTGCTGGTCCCAAGGTAGGCCCTGCTCCAAGGTCTGTACGTCCCATGATGGTGGCTGCCGTATTCGCAACCGCAAACAATCCAGGGATCGGCTTCCTGTCCCGCTTCGCAACAGGCTAGAAGTGGAAGTGGAAGTCTTCGTCCTGGACGTATCGAGCGGCCGCGGCCTTCGTACTCGGTCTCAGAGAGGCACCACTGTAGTCCCGCGCGTGTTGCTTTGGTGCTTGGTTTGCTCCGTACGCCCGATTCCGAAAGTCCGTCCTTTTGACGTCCCGATACGTCCGCTCCCGAAACTCCGTGTTATGGTGGTGATTGAATTGGTTGATGTGAAGCTACCCGGCGGACGATGAGCCGCGCGAACCGCGGATCGCGGGCCGCAGTGTCAGTGCTGTTACCGTGTATAGTCTCATACTTGTTAGTAGGGTTCTTGCTACGTAATCAACCACGCCTTTGTTGAAGTCCATAGCAGTGTCTTGGAAGGTTCGATGAGCTGTGCTGCAAGCCAGTCGAACGATGGTATTAGGAGTGTAATATTGGGGGTAATTTTCCTCTGCCATTTTCATCAAGTACCAATTGTGAATAAACCACTCCGCCAACTGGGAAGCCTTTTCTTGTTCGCCCATTTGACCATCATCACTAGACTGTCCCAAGTGCTCATAGCTTATGGCAATGCCAGGTTGCGTTTGCGTAGCTGAAGAGGCTGAAGAGCCGTCATGATGATTGGTGAAGCCACCTTCAGGGCATCGGCGTGTGAGCACCATCTTCAGATGTCACTTCAGTCTCAAACTCAGGCTGCGTCTCACCCTCGACCTCATCCTCGACTTCATCCTCAGCTTCTGACTGCTCAACCTGTTCAACCACATCCTTAGCAGGAACAGCATTCGGCATCCTGCTAAACACAGCCACGAACCCACCGCCCACAACCATACTACCGACCTTGGGCCGGCACACAACCCCCTTCGTCCCAGCCTTGGCCGCCTTGCGAATATCAACAACCTTGACATCCCAATGCCGCCCGCCAAGCCCGTCCCTGAACCCGACATCCCCAAGCGACGTCGAAGTCTGCAGCTCCACAACACGGTCCAGCGTCACCGGCTGCCCGCTCTCCTTCGCCCAGACCACGAACTCGAGAACCTGCGTGATGGAGGGGTAAAACACGACCAGCTTCCCGCCCGGCAGCAGCGCGTCCACAACCACGTCCGCGTGATCCTGCGAAGCCGGCAGGTCCAAGATCGCGTGCGCGAGGAACGACCTCCCTTCACTCTCCGCCAGCCGCGAGGAGAGGTACGACCGGATCGTGCTGACGTGGAAGTCGACGTCGAGGAGGTACCGTCCCCTGCGGAAGTTCCGGACCAGGCCGTGGGCCATGCGCGACGAGGTCGGGTTGACGTCGAGGGTGTGGATCACGGCGCGGCGGGATTCCGTATGTACCTTATGCTGCGATTCGATTGTCGAATCCGTGAGCTCGAGGGCGTGCGGCGCGTCGGCGTATTCCAGCCCGTCCGCGTCCGTCACGACCTTGCGCGGGAGGGTGTTCTTCTCGTAGGGCGCCGTGGAGAGCCATTCGCGGATGTTCGGGGGCACGGGCGGGTTTGCGCCGTGGATTGCGCGCGCGAGGTGCAGCGTCAGGGCGCCCATGCCTGTGCCTGCCTCGAAGATCTCGAACGGCCGGGGTTTGAGGCTGGCGTCGTCGTACTCCTCCTCCTCGCCGGGGACGGGGAGGTTGATGTCGAGGAAGGAGATGATCGTGTGTGCGTCCTGGGGATAGATCTATTTCTTGCATCGTTCAGCGCCCGTGTGTCTCCTCGGAAGATGGGTTGAGGGTGTCCGTACCGGTGTTGCTACGCGGGCTGAGTTTGTGACGTATTGCGCCAGGGTGACCTCCTGGAGCTTGACATCGCGGCCGTCGGTGTCGGTGATGGAGTCGGTGAAGGTCTTGCCGATGATGTCCGAGCCGTTGACTTTTGCGCCGTAGTTGAGCTTGATCGGGGTGTCGTGGCGGAGGGGGGGCGAGAGGTGGAACTTCGCTTCGCGCGTTCCTCTCTGGCGCAGGACGATTACATCGTGCTCTGGTCTGGGGTTAGCGATTTTGGAAAGGATAATATAAAACAGAAGACTAGCTGACCTTTGATGACCCGGCTGGTGCTTTTGAAGCGGCACAGCGGTCGATTGATGTGTTTTGCGAGGCCCAATGGCCAGAGTCTGGGTGGCATTGTAAATTTTGTCTCTTGATTTTGCGATTTCAAGACATGCGCAGGATTTCCGCGGTAGATGCGGAATATTGCATTCAATTCAATAACCCTTTTAATTGCATGGCTCATGCATGTAAACAGAAAATCCAACCACTAATGTCTACATATCCAGTGCACTGTTGACTTCCACTCCGGTTCTGTCTACGTTCATGTTCCTTCCACAGCCTTTACATCGCCAGCTATAGGTCCTCTCATGCTCTCTTGTTGGCTTCCTTGTCTTTCTTTTCTCTTCAGAACCAGGAATACTGCGCTCTCCCAGACGTCATTCTCATCTCTCTGTAGAAGAAGCATTTGCAACCCAGACAATTGCTGTAACGATGGTGGAATTTCTTGCTCTTCCATCCTCGACACATTTTGCCCAAGATCACGTCCAGAGAATAATTAGTCTGTCTCCACTGCTCTCGGGCCTCCTTTTCTGCCTCCCACTGCATCCGTTCGAGAAGATTTTGCTTTCGCCTAACTCTCCGATCGGCGCGCTTGACAATCTTGCACTTGTGGGCTGCCATGAGTTCCAGCTTTCGTCCGTGCCAGCGCTTGACTTCGGTCTGGCGGCTGTTGGAGTAAGCACCGATGGCGGCGATCGGGTCAAGCATCGTGTAGACAGCGTCGATGGTTTGATCCTCCGTTGGCTGGATCGGCTGAAGAATCTCCGGGTCACCGGCGGTGGGGCTAGACTCTCCGAAGGACTCGCCCCCGAAGATGGATGTAGGGTTGCGAGCGGACGCGTCTTGAGTGGCAGCCTCGGTTTCCTTTGTGGGAATGCATGCGAACTGATGAGTGTCGTCAACGGAGGTAGGAATACATCCAGAATGATGAGTAACGTCGGCGAAGATAGAGTCGACGGGTGAAAAAGAGGCGGCAACAGATGCCTGAGCCTCGGCGACAGAAGCCGCAAAGCGGAGAGCCGGAGCCGGCTGACTGCTTGAAATGGCACCCTGCCACATCGAGGTTCCGTCCGTATCCGTGCATTCGGGGCTGGCTCCGTTCGCCGTGAGAACATGGGCGGCGCCGAACTGGCCGTGGCAGATGGCGAGATGCAGAGGCGTCTGCGCAATGTTGTGGGCACCTTCCTCATCGTGGCCCTGGCAGGGACAAAGGTTGACAGACCAGATGTTGATGCTCACGCCGTGACTGATCAACCAGCTGATGACCTCAGCCTGGCCGTGGACGGCGGCGATACTGATTGCGTTCATCTCTCGCACATTGGGGTTTTTAAATAACTCGCCGGTGTAGACCTTCTCCATGCCGTGCTGGGTCGAGGTTAAGAAGTCCCCGTTCGAGGTGGCCTCATCATCGTCATCGTCGGAGGAGTCGGAGTCTGTCTTCTGTCCCATTTCGCGCAGCTTCTTCGCTTTCTCCGAGCCAAGCCTGCTCTTCTCCTTCAAGGCGTGTTTCGCTTTCTTCAACAGCTCCTTCGAGTTGCTGATCGAGACTCGCAGATCTTGGCCGTTCTTGCGAAGGATCTCGAGATTACCCATCTGGCCGATCCGGGCGCAGTGGAAAAAGGCATTGTGCTTCTTCTTGCGGGCTGCTGCTTGGTAGAGAATCGGGTTGGCGATTGCCTTGAGGCGATGGTTCATCTTGGCCAACGAGGCAAGACCGCGGAGTTCCCAGAGCTCCTCGGCGATGTGGAGCAGCAGCTCGCTAGGCAAATCCTCGAGGGTAGCCATTGTCATTGCCGCTGTTGTTGTCGGTGTCGTTGATGTATTCAGCTCGTGCTATTTGATGTGGTGGTATTGATGCTGGAATCTGCAATGTCGACGACGTTTTGTTTTTTTCAGCTCGTGTTGTGATGGATGCTCTCTCGAAGATAGAATGTGTGCGGGTGAAAATTCGAGGTTGATTGTGAGTGGTAGCAAAGTGAGGTGAAGTTGGTTGCAACAAAAAGCGTCGGGTGGAGGAAGGGACGGTCGACCTGGTCTTGCCAGGGCAGGCACGCCGCAGCTAACAGGTCCCAAACCCAAGACTTCTGCTCCCAAACATCATGAATTGAAAGCAAGAACCACTGATTTATCGAATTATTCCTCAATGTCTATCTGATCTCCTGTCTGCAGAAGTATCGTAAGTACCCATTCCCCTTTCGCACCATCCTCTCCTCTCTTGTTCCTCGACCTGATGCATGCAAAATTGGCCCTCGGCAGCTCGATGCTGTACCCAAACCCATCCAAACTCCTAATGAAGCCGCGCTCGTTCATACCTGAGATCCCTCCTGATGAAACACTTGACATCCAAAGCAGCCTACGCCTCGGCATCCCTTGGTTCCCCAGGCCTGACAGGCTCTTCCAATCCACTCCCTGGCTGTTGAAACTGCACTTTGCATTCTTGCCTGCTCGCTGAATCTCTTGCCCATTCTCGTGTGATACGCATCCAGCGCCAAGATAGGATCGATCAAGGCCTCTGCTGTATCAGCAGCAGACTCTTCAGCATCTAGCATTTGACGTTGACGACGAGTTGAGCTGGCGAAGGTGAGTGCTGGGGTGGCATAGTCGTCGTGAAGGGCTTGTTCCCAGATGGAACAACCATCTTCCAACCAGTAGGACCTGTCGACGTGGGCTCCGTTGTTGGCCAAAAGTTGCGCCACATTGTACTGCTTGAAAGCCAAAGCCAGGGTCATTGCCGTGAAGGGAGACATTGCGGCCATGGGAACCCACAACCAGTGCAGTCCGTTGCTAACAGGCCACTCTATAATGCCGATAGATGTCTTTGACATGGATGCCCCCTGTTGAATGAGCCACTCGACAACCTTGGTGTGGCCTTTCAGCGCGGCGTGATGGATCGGGGCTGACTTCTTTCCGTGAAACTTGTTGACGGCTCTGTCCTCGCCATAGATGCGCTTGAATATATGGTAGTCTCGACCGTCTCGACCGTCTCTTGGGTTAAGTCGGATGTGAATTCTGCAGGCGTTAAGGTCCTTTGACCCCAGTCCATGTTGCTTGAGCAGCTGTAACACCCTCAGGTAGCCCTTTGAAGCTGCCCACACAGGCAGTCTGTGATCTCCCTTCTTTGTTCCATTGCGAATCTCCATCTGATACAGCAGGGGCGTTGTGACGACATTGAGGAAATAGTTCGTTCTGGCGAGGGCCGCGAGATCAGCGATGTTATCAACCTCTCGGCTGATGTAGATGAGAATCTCATTGGGAAAGACAGCCATTGTGACTAGTTACTGTTAGTACTTGAGGGTATTTGCTTGAGAGATTTGCATGATTACCTTCTGATTGCTGTCTCTTCTTGTGCTTTCCCTTTCTTCTTTGTTGCTTTTGCCCTCTTGATTTTCTTTGCTACTGTTGTAGTCTTGACCTTTTGTTGGTTGATCTTTTTTCCCTCCTGGCGAATGAAGGATTTGGGTTTCGCTTTTGAGGTAGGCGAAGCAGAAATGTGTTAGCATGTATCAAGCCGGGCTGTTGGTGGGTTGAGAGAAACCTTGGTTGGTATTTGGTGATGAAGAAGGTGAACCAAGAAAAGGTGTGAGGGTTGGAAGTTGGTGGGTTGAGCGAGCGAGCGGGCGAGCGAGAAGTTTTCCCCCCCCCCCCAAAAAATGAAGAAAAGGGCAAGAGCGTCTCGCTCAGAACGACAAGACCGGGCAGAGTTTTTCAGCCGGGCCCGGAGTACTTTAGAAATCGAAGTTGACCTTTTTTGGCAGAGGCAGACTCGAATAGATGGCATGCGAGGCATCCACTACCACGGCACTGCTTCCGACCCCATCTCTGGCAGAGCTTGCCCATGCTTCCGCAGGTCGCATTTGCAACATTCACCACGTCCTCGCCCTTCCAGCTGAAAAGCCTTTCCAACCAATCGTTGGTGTTTCGTTGGTATTCTCTACATACCTCGCCCTCGGGGGTATCGTCGAAGGGGGTGCGGGTCGGGATGGTGTCCCGTCTTTGGGATCTGTAAGCATCTACGATTTCCACCGGATCCAGAAGAATACCAACGGCGTCTATCAACCGCTCTTCCTCGGTAATAGCGATCGCCTCGCCGTTCAAAATCACCGATATATAGTCCGCGACGACACAAGCGGGAAATCCCAGCGCGGCGGAGACGTCATCCGCCTCGAGAGCCTTCTGCCAGACCGTAGCACCATCCAAAGACCACAACACCTCCCAATACGCCTCCGAACACGAGCTCCATCTGCTGAGCAGCACATGCGCCACGTCGTACTTCTCGTGAAGCAGGGCCGTCTTCAGCGGACACAGGACGAGGTGTTTGTTCGTGTCGGCGCCGCGCCGGAGAAGCCACGCCGCGGCCCTCGTCTGTCCGTGCCGCGCGGCGTCGTCCAGCGCCGAGCGATACGCGGCCCGGCGGGGGTGGCCCGACTTGTGCGGACCGCGTACGATGACGTGGATGTTTTGTCCGTTTCGCGCGAGCAGGTCGAGGGTGCCGATCTGGCCGGTGGCGGAGGCCCAGAGGAGGGTTTTGTTGGAATTGTGGTTGATTGTCTGTTTGTAGAGCGGCCGGGTGGTTATTGCGTTGAGGCGGCGGTTCATCTTGGCCAGGGAGGCCAGGCCGCGGACGTCTTGTATCATTGAGCTGATGATCACTAGAAGCTCGTCTGGTAGATGTTCTAGTTTCGCCATCTTTACGGCTTGAGCGTGGGTGGTGACGAGGGGTGAGTTTGGAATGCAGGGTGTATGTGTGTCAAAAGGAGATCTTAAGCATACATTCAGGATACGCGCCAAACAATAACAAACAACGAGGGGGGGAACGACATGATGATGGGGGAGATCCACATATCTCCGATGCAAAACACGATGACCACCCGTCGTCGAGGTGGTGAATGTTCAAGACCTGGACGTCCACAGCTTCAGATCAAAGTTCCAGGCATCTACGGCACGCGTATTTCTAGACGGAACTATGAATCATGCATCACACGCACCCTGATGGACAGCGAGACGGAGGATCAAGTCCGTAAAGCACAGGCGAGAAAGCCGAGAAAGTGGTTCTTCTTCTTCATGTGAGGCTCTCACTGCCAAACTTCGGCAGATAGACCACAGTAGAAGAAGTCAAAATTGTCCCTTTGAAGTGAGGATAAGACAGTGATTAACTAAGTCGACGGTGTACATATCAGCATCAATATCAATAACACACAACACATATCGGAATAATTTCGATTTCGCTACCAAAGATCGGATGGTGTGTTGTGGGGTATCTCAATGCCATCAATGCAACGCTAAAGGACAGTCCAGACATTCATCCCAGACGCATTTTCTTCATCATATCGTTTTCCATCTTCCGTCGTATGGCCTCGCAAGCCCCGCCCGCGCTTTTTCTTCAATTTCTTTTGCTTCCATCTCTTAACCCAATATTCCAAAAAGAAGAAGAAGCGGCAACGGCCCAGCCATCACATTATATCCCAAATCCAGTTTCCGTTTTCCCAAAGAATAAGTGTGGTGATGTCCGGGTTCAAAAGTCCAGCGCTGCTTTCCTTCTCCACCTTTCAAATAGATCCTAATCGCAGATAAGGCAAGAAAAATAAACAAGAGATAAAGAAAGAGGGATATTAAACAGACATTTCGTGCTGCCTTGTGGTACTTTTGGTGTGAATATAGAGAGAGGTAGAGAGAGGTGGGGAGATGTTCCGTGCCTCGGCGCAGCCAGGCCGGCAAATACAGGGGGTTTGAAGCCCGATACTATGAATTACAACTGTCGCCAGTGTGGTTGTTGTAAAAAGATTTCAAGGAAATTTGGATAGTATGGGAAAACAGTCGACACCGCGGTCCGAGGATACCCAGTCAAGGGGTCGGAGTGGTGGGCCAACGCAAACGCCGTCCTGTGTTTACCGGCTGCTTTGCTTCGTATGTAGGTAGGGGGTAGTGGGTGGTGAAAACAGATATGGACCGGTGTCCGTAGATGGGCTCGCGCCCTCTTGAATCTTTTTTGATGCGAAATGTTCTTTCCTCTTGTTCCGAAAACCTGATGATGATGCCATCCGACGAAGAAAATCAGGGAGGGAGTGGTACGTGAAGAGAAAAAAGAGATCCCACGAAAACAGTAGTCGCAAAAGGAAAACCTCTTCAGATACTCGCGGTACGGGACCTCTCGGGTACACGCGCGTAGCAGACCATGAGCTTGAAGCTGGTCCGCCACTCCTCGCACTCGGCGAGCAGCGCGCGGTCGCCCCAGATGCTGCGGCTGGCGGCGGTGCCCGCGGCGCTCTCGTAGCAGCGGGTGTACCACCAGCGGCCGACCTTGGCGACCATCTTGGTGATGTTCTCGTCGGCCGAGTCGCCGTCGTCGTTCATCATCTCCGCGAGGCTGCGGACCTCCTTGGCCTTGCGCGTGACGGCGGGCGGCTTGGAGCTGGAGCTGGTGGTGGTCGTGCTGCTCGAGACGACGCTCGCGACGGGGACGCCGACGCGGCACGTCTTGACGTCGGTGAAGCCTTTGCGGCCGAGGAGGCGGAGGATGAGGTCGGAGCTGGAGCCGATGGAGACGTCGGGGTTGCGCTCGTGGACGCGTTCCTTGAGGCGGCGGACGGTGCGGCGGCCGCGGTTGCCCATGTTGTTGAGGTCGACGTCGAGGATGGAGAGCTCGATGTAGCCGCCGGGCTTGAGGACGCGGCGGGCCTCGGAGACGATGTTGCGGTAGTGGGACTCGGGGGCGGCGGAGGGGAAGCGGAAGACCACCGTGGTGAAGGTCTCGGGGCCGAAGGGGAACCTGTCGGTGTGGGAGAGGTACTGGATCTGGTGGTGGTTTGGGGGGCTGAGGGGGAAGCTGGAGGCATTCTTGTGTTCGTCTGGGAGGGGGGCCCGTGGGGAGAGGTTGAAAAAGGTCGCGGCCGGGTAGGTCTCTGCCGCGTAGAAGGACCAGTCGTCGTTTCCGAGGCCGTCGACGACGAGGATCGAGTGCCGCTTGAGGGAGCCGACGACGTCGACGAGTTGGTCGCGCGCCGGGGAGAAGAGGACGTGGCCGAAGGAGAGCCATTTGGAGACCGTCATCGAACCGACTCGCAGGTTTACCTGGGATAGCGGTGATTCGTCCTCGGAGGATTTGCAGCTGGATACGGACTGGCGCGACCTGCGGGAGGAGTGGCTGCTCCGCTGGGAGGTAATGGTGGCTTTGCGGGCCAGCTCGGTGGACTCGCGGTCGATTGCGCTAGCGGGGATCTCGGCGACGGGGATGAGGGTGAAGGAGTTGTCTTCGGGCTTGAGTGCGAAGGCGGCCTTGAGTCGCTCGGTCATGTCGGCGCTGTAGATGCTGGAAGAAGCTGCCGTGTTGGTTTCCGGTTTCTCGATGGCCTTGGGGGGGATGATGGTTGGTGATTCCAGGGGCTTTAGAGACCGCTTGGAGAGTCTGCCGTCCTGTCCTTCGAGGTGGAAGGGGATGCCTTTCGAGGATGTTGCCGAGGGCGGGACCTCGCCGATGAGGTCGTTGTATTCGTCCCAGATCTCGTCCTCCACGAGAGGCGCGTCTGGGTCGGGAACGTAGGCGAGCGCGTCCGCGAGAGTGTACATGCCGCCGCTGGAGGAGGTGCTCGTGGTGCACTCGGAATTTTTTCGGGGAGAGAAGGCCAGGAACTCACGACCGATCTGGACCATCTCGGGCGTCTTGGCCGCGACCAGGGATGAGCGGGGATCCGAGTTGGTGTCGCCGCTGGTTGCGGCGGACTCGCCACGGGAGAGCTCAGGGGTAGACAGCTCGGGAGGGCTGGGGCCGGAAGCAACAAAATCGGGGTTGAATCCCGCAGCCTGCGGTTGCAGACTCAAGCTGATTCTGTTGAAGGGCCGGGAGAAACTCCTCGACGAAGTGTGCTCAGGTCGCGAAGTGACCACCTTGGGGATACGACCGACCTGCGGCAGACGACTTGGGCGTGCCTCAGCAGGCTTGGCTGCGCTGGACTGCGATTGTGTCTTCATGGAACGAATTGCTGGGATCGAAGTGCTCTTGGCGGAGGCAGAGTTCCTGCGTGCTTGCGATGACTTGGTCGGCTGTGTGAGTCTCGACAAAGATTCCCTCCTCTGGTCCTGGCTTGCTGTGGATGACCGCCTCTCTTTGATGGGCGGCGGAGCAGGGAAATCAGTCTCCTTAATTGGTGGTGGTGAGGGAAGGTCAAAAACCTGGGCCTCTCGTAGAATCTCCTCAACATCCGGGGGTCCAGAATCCTCTTGCTCAGAGCCGTCCATCATCGTGTAGAAGGCTGCTGGCTTGTGCTGAACAACCTTGACGGTGGCAGTGACAGGGACAGCCTCAGGTTCTTTCTTCTTGTCTGGTTGGCTATGAGTGCGACTGAACCAATTCCACTTCTTTGGCGATCGGGTCCGTTTGGTCAACTTCTTGGGAGGCGTCGCTGTGGCTGCGGCAATACGTCCTCGAATGACCTCTCTGTGCTTCTCAAACTGGGAATCATCCGACAGAATGGTTGTGTCATGGCTGTCGATCGATGGCGCCGAGATGCCAGATGTGTTGATAGGCTGGGGAAGCTTGAGAGGGCTCTGGTCAGGGGATGTCTTCAACCGCTGAATAGACCTCCTGAATGCCAGCGTTGGCTTCATCGTGACGGCCTCGGAATCGCTGCTATCAGAGGGACGGCGACGACTGAGCGACGGTTGACGTCCGCGGGGGATGGCCGAAGGTGCCAGTCCAAACCGTCCGTTGCTGGAAGTAGTTGACGTCTCGGATGCATAGCCGAGGCTCTGATTGCTCTCTGAGCGAGGCAAGTCCACACTGTGGTTCCGGTTCTCGATAACACCACCGCCAGAGATGATGACCGGGTTCATACGCTCCAACAGGAATGTGTCAGTCGGCTGAGAACTGCTGAGACTGTCTTGTGAAGATGTGGGTCCCGCGTTAGTGCGTGCCAAGTTGGTGGACGAGCTGCCACTTCTCCTTCGAATCGCTCCAAGACGACCATAGCCTTCGTGCCCGGTGCCAGCGGCAGGTCCCTTGCGGGAAGGCTTGTCTTTCTTGTCGACCTGGGTGACCTCGGGAGCCGTCTTGCGGCGGCCGAAGAACGGGAAGCGGCTGAATGCTGACGTTCCGGGACTCGGTGTCCGAGTGGGCCGTTCGTTCTTCTTGTTGTCCGATGTAGCCGGTCGAGGTGCCGGAGTAGCTTCTCTACCCGATGGCACGCGGGGTTGTTGCGGCTCAGGGTATGACAGGGGAGTGACAGATCTGGAGGGAATCTGTACCTCAAGTCGCCTGTCATTAGACAAAGATGTGGACGACAGGTTACTGTGGATGATAGGCAGGGGCCCGAACAATTGTGACTGCAGGTCCGGAGTGTTCTCTCTACTCGGCCTGGCAGGCGGCGTCTGGCGAGGAGAGGCACTTGGCATCAATCGTGGAGGAGACTGAACCGGCGACGGCGGTGCCATGACAGGCATGGCCGGCTCTCTAGCGACCTTTGATGGCGACTCCTCATTTCCGGGGCTGTTGAACTTCTGCGACGACTTGCGCGGCGGCGGACTCGGCGGCAGGGGCGACAACCTCTTCTTCTTCAGTGAACCCTTCCTTTCTACTTCCCGTACGGTAGAGTTCGACGACGACGATGTAAGAGACTCCCGAACCGCGGCGAGGCCTTGAGGGTCGGCGCTAAATGCGTCAATCTCATTCGTGCTTCCGGCCCTTCTCCGGGTCACCGGTGGTCGGGTTACGGCCGGACTCAGTTGTCTCGTCCTGGGCGCAGGGGTTCGCATCGGAGCCGCTAGTCCTGGTGACTGTGACGACATGGACGTGGGAGTGGTGTCTCGGCTGTAGGGGCCGGGACCGGGCGACTCGGAGAATCTCGTCGAAGGGCTTCCGCTGAAGCCGCTCATCTGGCTGCTGGTCCCGGAGAACACAGGCGTCGGGGGAGGAAGGTCGTGCGTCGCCAGCCTGTGTAGGAAGTCGACGCTGGAAGCCTCGGAGGAGATCGAGGGCCGCCCCGTGATTTCTCTGTAGCGATCTAGCTCGGGATAGATTGTGACTGCCTGGACCTGGTTCTTGGGTAGATCGACGACATGGGCAATTCGAATTTCCGTGGGGCTCTCGGTGATGCCCCGGTCGAGTTGCATTCCTGGGTCGAGCGAAGACCGCGAGCGAGGCGCAGAGGAGGACGAGCTCGTCCTGGTAGAATCGGTAGAGCCGTGGCTCAGACTCGGCGTTTTCCGGGCAACTGATGACTTCTTTCTTCGCAAGACGTTACGAGGCTTGGGGGTCGTTGTATGGGACTGTCCGGACGTCGATGAGCCCGACAACGTCGGAACATGGCTGGGCCTTTCTGAAGCCGTGCTGTTTGAACTCCACGACTGCGTCTGATGGGTTAAAGGTGGTCGATTGGAAGGTACCGGGATCGAAGGACGTCTCGTCGAAGCCTGGGGCTCTCTCGTGGGTTTGGTCTGGGGTTGGTATGGCTGTTGGATCGGGATTCGAATGTTCTCTCCTTCTCTGCGCACTCTTCTGCCGTCGTCCCTGGCCTCCATTGTTCTTCTCGCTCGTATCTGTTCATCTGGTCGACTCGGCAAGCCTGTACCCATGCGAAGGGTTGCCATGATGTCCTGGTATGTGCTCGGGGCCTGTCCACCATAGCCCGAATGCTCTCAATATCTCATGTTCAGTGCAGGTAGGTGAAGGCCTGCCCAGATGTTAGCAACGGGCGGCAAAAAGTGGTGACGGGAACAACCTAGCAGAACCCAGCTAACACCAAGAATTAGGTGCTGACCAGACTAGGTGAGGCGGATCAGACACGGGATCACAGGAAGCAGAGAAATAAATCCCTGGGTCTCAGCAAGGCTGACTAAGAGGCAACAGTAGATGATGCGTGTGGCAGTCCCAGTAGTGCTGGGATGCGGTGCCGAGCACAGGCAAAGGAAGAGAGACGGCGTTATATGAAAAGACAGATCAGAGGAGCACAGCAGATGAGGAAACACAATCTCCTGGGACAGGAGAAAAAGATGAGAAGAAAGAATTGTCAACAGGGAATGCTGGACGCGGAAGAGGGGAGCGGATTCCGAGCTGAGATGGTGAGGTGTGATGGTGGGGTGGTGGGAGGTTGCGCGGCTGTCGAGGGAAAGCCGATTCGGCTGGGAGGGTCGTGGTGGTGGTGGAGGGGTTCAGAGGGGTCTCGAAGATGGTGGGGAGAAGCCGCGTCTAGACACGAGCTTTGGCGCCGTCGGGGTTATGAGCCAGCCTCTGTGATGACGAGGAGAGCTGATGAAGTTATTCTTTGGCGTCTGGGGAAGAAGAGGCCGTTGTGTTTAGCTTTGGAAGATGGGGATGGAGGAGAGATAAGTGGGAGCCGGGATGACTAGGTCTAGGTAGTGGCAAAAGAGGGCAGCTCAAGGAAAAGTGAAGTCAGGTATCATATGGTAGTTGATAGAGGATACATGGAGAAAGAAAAAGGAAAGACACAGTGACAACGGCCAAGTCGGGTAAAGAAGGCAACATTGGATTGTATATACTGCGCAGGTTAATAGCAAGTAAGGCATCTCGTCTTGTCCCGCGCTCTTTTTGCCTGGAGCCGGCTTCCTGGAAAGCAGACGGCGTGAATGGGCGACGACGTCGGCGAGATGGCAGGGGTATGACTAGCAGCACGATTGCCAAAAAGGATACAAACATACGTAACGAGTACATGCAACATGCATTGTAATTCTGTGTCTTGGAGGTGTATCTGGGTCGCATGCGCATCTGCTGCATCTACAGATGGATTCGATTGCTATTCTTTGCGCGTGGCGTCTGAGCCCTTGCCTCTAGGGTCTTCTAACCTCTAGCCTGCAGCGGTCAAGAAACGGGAATCATGGGCCCAAGTCAGGTGAGCAGCTGGAAACGCCGAGGGCGGCGCTCTGGGATTGGGCATGGGGGCCAGGGAACGCACGCAGGAGGGAGCAGATCAGACAGCGGTATGCGCCAGTCACGATGTTGAGTCATCCTGTTAATAGAAGAGCAGACAGGGACAGACAGGGACTCGATGCGAACTGGTAGCGTCTCTGGGTCTTCTGGGTCCTCTGCAGACGCACAGGAGAAGCAAGACACAGCTACGGGTGACGAAGGAGGGGCAGAGAGAGACATGGACTGGGACTGGGGGCATGGAGCCAAGGCCAAGCGGAGGAAGAGACGCTGAGAGAGGCACAGAAGTCGATGAGAGGATGGTTTGTACAGGGTACGGAGAGTGGTAGGGAGGGGACTCGACGAGGAGACCCAACGGGCTGGCGGCAATCTCTGTGAGGCGTGCAACTGCTTAGCTGCGACGCGCTGCGGGATGGGAATGGGATGGCACTCGCCCTGGACTATGCATACACGGTCGTCCTATGGGAGGACCGAGAGGCAATGAGAAGGCAACTCGACGACGCAATTGGGCCGCATCCCCTTGTCTGGACCTTGTCCGGATTCGGGGTCGTCTGCATCTTCTGGGATGCTGGGATTCTGGGGGTACGAGCAGGGGAACAGACTTTGAATTCGATGTTTTGGGAGAGAGAGGGAGTATCGAGAAGAGACAACAGACAACAGACAGAGACTAAAAAACGGATTAGAGAATATCATCGTAGTCCCTGACGTGAACGTGGCTGTGCTTACCGCCAGTCTGTTCACGCTACTGGACCTCACCGGCGGTCAAGAAGGCGCGGGACTGTCGTTCGCTGAATTGAATTGACTCTAGGAGAGTGGATGACGGAGGCAAAACGTCAAAGCTGGCGGCTGGGAATGTCCCTGGAGCACCGAGGACGAAGGGAATGGCCCGCCCCGCCACGATGAGTTCAAAAAGATGGGAGGAGAGCCAGAAAAGTCTTGTCGTCGTCTGAGTAAGAAGGCAAAAGTAATAGAGGCGCTGTTATGGACGGACAGCGCAGGGATGAGGCTGGCGGTGGTGGTCGAATAGACGAAGCATTTTGAGCAAATGTTTGTCACTAATACCTTCAAATCGAATGCGACTGGACGGATTAACCCTGGATAGTAAAGCCACCAGAATGGAACGCAGGAAGCATCCAACAGCCGCCTGTAGAAAACAATCAAAACCGAAGACTTCCAATGGAGAAAGAACGAAAGCGAAATGGAAAACGAAAGGTGGAAGGCGCTGAGAAAGCGGACGGTCGGCCCAAAAGGTGGGCCTTCCCATGCACCAACCCTAAAACGGCCTTAGCGCCATCGGTACTTTGTACTTGCGGGTCCTCTCGGCTCAATTGGAGCGTGCGCGAGGGAAAGACCCACTGCAAGGGATCACGGACCAACGGCGGGGTCAACGGTCGTCTTTTTTTTTTTTTGTTTTTTTTTTTTTTTGCCCACCACGTTTTTGGCAGTCAAACCTCGAATCTCCACTCAACTCCAGAGCCCTGGCGTCTCTCTGATACTTCGACATCGGACAGCCTCTCGAGACCATGTCGTCTTTACTTCTATGGAACTCAATCCACTTTGAACTGCCGATGGGACGCATCGGAGCCCTCACATACACGAGTCGACACTCGCCCTCAGCTTCTCGTCGTCAAACTCCTTTCCCCTGCGTTTCTCGGAAACACCTCCTCCACGGTCAACTTCAACGTCGAACTGCCTGTCGAACCGCCTGCTACCGACGAAAAGCAAACAGATTCCTGTCATCCACCGGCCCCGACGACTGTCGTCAACATGTCATCTATCAATGATCCACCGCATGTCTCACTCTACGCTGCCCGAGAGGCCATGTTTCTGCATGTCTCACTCCTGTACCACCCTCCCTGGTGATCGCCCACGCTACCGATACGCTTTCACGCCTGCCCCACCCCCCTCCGCTGCCCGGCGCTTGTTTGGCGACATTCTCCTCGGCCTTCTATCCTAGATAGAGTCAACCCCCAGAGTTGGATGGTGTGAACGGCTCGCGCGGGCTCTGCACACAGACCACTCAACCCCACTCGAGATATCAGATTCCGATATTGTCGACACTTTCACCAAAATGTGTGTTGACCCGTCTTGACGGCATCTACCTGATTTGCTCTGGATACTCGACCTTACTCTCGTGAGAAACTAGCAACGGAGCATCAGGGCACTGCTTGATTGCTCACTCGCCCGCGTTACTTGATCGAGATACGCGCAGAGGATCCTGAGGATGCAAAGGGCCTTGACTGGCCGTCAACCTTGATACAGACATGGCTGCACCGCAAGCCTCGACGACGCGTCGTCGAACCAACAACTAGAAGCACCAACAGCGACAAGAAGTCATCTTTCATCTTCACATCGAATTAGAACTTTGGTGATGACGACCCAGGCCGGTCTAGTCTACTAGCTGGCACACCCTTTCGAGTCTCAGCCTGGATCTAATTCCCATAAAATCCGGGCAAGATGGACTATGGATTCAAGCCATTCTCGCAAAGCACCAACCAACGACTTTATTCTCCGGCTGGGCAGGCAATGATACGCTCCCAAAGCCCGTCTGTTTCGTCTGCTTACCACCACAATATCGTCTGATGAGAATACGTCGCGCCAGCAACCGACTCGCGAGCCTGCCGTCTCGTGAAATTGGGGGCGTGGGGTTGTACCCAAACTACAGAAAGAAGCCATTTGGAAGACTTCCATTCGCAATCAGTGCTACGCCACTTCCAATCTCCCAGGTCCTGTCTTGGGCCGAAACAGGAGTCTGGAGATGGCCTCGTTCCTAATTCAGATCCGCTCCATCATCGACTATTGCCTCCGTCTCACGTAACGCAACCAACCACCAGCGATAGGGGGAAGCCTGTCGTTTTGTCTCTTCGGTGTCGAAACTATCTCGTTGCCGCCATTGGTTCCAACCGAAATGGATTTTCTGGGCAGCAAGGGGTTCAACCCCTTTCTTCGGTCGTGATTGGCTCCTTCTCACGCAATATTGTCCAATCATCTGGCCCGTCCGAGACATTTTCCCACCTTCCATCCTGTGGCCCTGAGCGACCATTTCCCCTCATGCATGTCTCTCCTTACCCGCAGCTTTTGGAAACGGCTCTTTACCAATCGACGCGTGGGCTCGACGACGATATTTCTCAATCTGGACGGACCGGAGGGAAAGGAGGTGATACTGGCGTCATGAACCTTAGTCAGGGATGACCGTCTCATCTAATGTTTGGCCATTTGACGTTCTCCC